AAAATTTTTCTTTTTTTGCTCCGTCGAATAAATTTGTCATCCTGCCAATTCGGGACGATATTGTACTTTCATCGTACAACTGGCCGTACATGTACGGTGTGCCGAGATTTTTTTCAACTCGATGAGCATCGCATTCGTTTTAGTACGGACGACCGAGTTCGCCCCGAGAGACGCGTTAGAAATTTAATTAGAAGCGCTGACCGAGTTCGGGCCGGTGAAACGAGATCTTATCTAAATTTTAAAACCCGAGCAATCAATTATTCAAGACCGAGGCCAAGCGAGAACTATACGCGTATAGTTTTCTCTCATATTTCTTTCTTTTTTCCTCGCTCGAATCTCCCGAGCGTCTCGATTCCCGTGCACTCCCCTATTTTAATCGCGTGGACCGTTTAGAGCGAATAATATGTGTATATGTACATATATATGTATGTGAACGACAAACAAGCCCCGTCGTATATACGTACCGTACAACCGGGGATTTATAAAGCCGTTTCGTTGGGCACGGGAGTTTAGGTCGGGGCAGGGGGAGCAGCATGGTATCAGAAAACACAGCGCTGATGTATAAAATATGTATACGCGGAGCAGAGAGAGCAGCGAAGCCGGCGGGCACGCGCCGATTCTGCCAATTGGAATAAATTGGCTGCGACGCGTATATTATACACGTATGCACGTATACGTATATTGTTTCAACCGGGTGCTCCCTCCTCTTGTGTGTGTATACATATAGTGGGTACGTGGGTGCTGCAACGGGCGATTTTTTGATTTTTATTTTCCGTTAGCCGAGCGAACGTATCATTGGGATGGTGGAAAAATTCTCCCCCAGCTAAAGCGGGAGGGGGCACGCGTGTTTTTATTTTTAATTGTTTTTTCTTTTTGTTTTTTGTTTGTTTTTTTTTTTTTTTTCTGTATCGGAAGTAACGGATACCGTGTGTTTATACGATCAAACGACAGTTTGTTTTTTTTTTTTTGCAGTTGCGATATTGCAGTTTTGCTGAAAGTTGATTAAAATGCCGTTTCACTGGTTTTACGTGTATCCAGAGCGATTTGGCTTGGAAATAAAATTGTATCCGCACGAAAAAGTCCATTTTACCTTAAAATTTTTTTTATTCAAACCAATTTACGAGTGGTCAAAACTTATGTGCAAATGAACTCGAGAAGATACACACACACTGATGCTCTTGTTTGTTACGAACAATCAATAATACCCATGCCCAATCACCCAATCGCCGTTCAATGCTGCAGATAACCCAACGATGTATACATTATATGCATACAGCTGCTAGATTGGTGTTTGCTCGCTCATTCGATAATCGACGAACATATTATATACCTGCACTTACTCCTTTTAGCGTCAATTGATTAGCTTTCCGATATGGTTCTTCCGAGTTAACTTTAACCACAAATTTAAAAAAATAAATAGTTAACTGTTACAAACGGGTATATTTATTATTTTCAAAAATAATTCAAACAATGGTTGTGCAAGATTTACAGTATATGAATGAAAAAAAAAAAAAAAAAAAATTAAATAAAATTCTTACGTTTCCCTGTCTTACGTATGTATGAGTATAGGCAGGTATATAACGACTTCTGGTTTGCCGCGAAATCTTCTTTTTCCGTAGCAAGGGGTGTATACTGCGATAAGTATATAACCCACGGGGTAGGGGATGACGAGGAGCTCGCGACGAGCGCTAACTCGCTGAAATATCTTTTAATTATTTAGCGCATCGTGGCGCATTTTAAGCGTACACATATATATATATATATATATACGAAATCCAGAGATAGCTCCGAAGAGAGTCGTCGTCGCGTCTCCTTATACATATATACATACATATCTTCCATCGCGCCCTCGCTCACTTACGCGCGCGCACACACTGACAGACAGAGCTTTTATCCGTCCCCCGGAAAAGCTCGAAACCGTATATAGCTATAAAGGCTCCACTGCGATGAACACGGCCACACACACACACACACACCGAGACATACCTACACTGGCGTGACGGCTATACGAAACGCTAAAAGGTCCGGAAGAGCTAAGCGGGCGCTTGCGAGGGAGAGAGAGAGAGATGGGCACCCAACACCATAATACCCGTACATACATATATATATATATTACCAAAACAATTAATTACACTAAAAATAAATATACGTACGTCCCTTCGATCAAACTACTTCTTTTTCTCAGCTGATGCATGTATCCATACAATACAAACATAATTGGCGTCGCACCACCACTACGAAGCACCTCTAAAAAATACTTACATTCACACGCTTCGGCGCAGCTCTGTTGCAGCAGACATTGTTTGTGTTTATCGTGTACTACTCCGTCCCTCTCTTTTATTCATCTTCCTCTGGCTGCATATTCTTATTGCCCGGATTCACCTATTGAGCATATTTTTAACAAAAATTAGTGAAAAAAAATCCCGTGAGAATATGCCTGATTGAGGGCGAAAGTGTCGGAAAAGGGTCCACCAGCACAATAACCGGGGAACGACCCTTTTTTGTCCCTCGGCACTCTACCGAAGTCAACTTTTTCTTACGCAGTTACCCCCCTTGTTTTTGTTTGTTTCATTTGATTTGGCTTCCTTATATTCGGAGCACTGAATCTTAATGCGCGGGTGGTATCTTTATTTGGTACTAAAGATCGTCCAACTTCTAATAATACGTAGTTGTGCATATAAGTGAGCGGTAGTGTGGTGGTGAGGCAGAGGAAAACAATTTTGTGGTGTCGGTGCAAGTGTGCCATGTAAAATTTACATGGGGTCAATGTAAGCTCTTCCGTATGGATTTTGCACTCCAGTGGCTCCATTTTCTCCTATTTATCGAGTGTCGTTATACTTATTTATAAGATTCAATTGGAATGAGCGCTGTTTCTGCTGCTTAGTGACCGATGTTGTGTATATTGACAGCATCGTTTTTGACTAGGTACGAAACGAAAATTTTTTAATACCTTTTTTTTTTTTTTTTTTTTTTTAATGCCTTAAAAATTACAATGCCATATAATAATTTTTTTTTTTTTTTTTTTTCCTTTTCCCTTTCCCCAGTTCGTTCTTCCGCGTCACGAGAGTTAGGCATCGATGTTATTGTTGTTGCGTTGTAACGATCCGACAAACGTGGAAATGGATATTGATGGGAGGGCCGAAATCGAGCATACACGGTTGTAATATCTGCTCCTCGTTCCCGATCGATCTGGCGAATCGTAGTGGAACTGCTGCTACCGACCATCGTGTGCCATCGTTAATTTTTCCTCAACCACACACACACGCATAGCTTAATCGCAGACACACGGATGAGTTGGGGGGGGGGAGGGGGGTGGTTGCAGGGTGTATACACACAGTTGCGCGAGAGCTTGCACGTGCCTTTGGTATTATAGGCTCTGAGGGAGAGGGTCGGGGATAGACCTCCCGCAGGACAGACGAGAACACACGCGAAACGAGAATCAAGGGTTGGGGGAGGGGGTGGGGAAAAGGGAAAGAGGATGGTTAGCGAGCAAGTGGACGGATGGAAGCGTCCAGCTATACGTGTATATGTATACTATACTGCTACACAAGTAGCGCACGCGCGGCGTTAGCGGCGACCGAAACAAAGGTGAACGTCCCTGTGATTTGATCCTATTAATGTGACCCTCGTGCTAATTAGCGTGAACTGCTACTGCTGCTGCGGTGATGCGGCGGATAATCGATAACCCAGGACCGAGAGAGAGAGAGCTGCTGTGTTCTCTCTCTCTCTCTCTTTCTCTCTCTTGAATCCGGTATGCCTATATACCCCCAGTCTACTGCCGTTAACCCGAACGTGGGGGGTACATGTACATAGGTATGCAGCCTATCATGCCCCGGCTCGTAGCAGCAACGGCATAGCAGAGATGGCAGTGGCAGTCGCTCCTCCTCCGCCCCGGCCTATACCCATATATATACATATATATATATATAACGCCGAGGACGAGGATGACGACGACAGCGGAGCAAGAGAGTAGCTCTTGTAGTGGGGGGGGAGAAGGGGGGCGAGGTCGTTAGGTTCGCTTCAGGTACCCTGTTTGACCAGTTCTCCGGAACAAAGCCGATGTTACAGGCTAATAAAGCTCCGCTCTGCTCTCCACTTCGCTCGGCAGCTTTCCCTCTTCCACCCTCCCACGGCGAGAGCTTGCAAGCTCAGAAACACTTGGGAAAAGAGCAGTGGCAGCAGCAACAACAGCAGCTCTCCGTATTATGGAAATAGGTCCATGCCAACGACGACAATGACGACAGAGCTACATCTCTCTCCTTCTCTGCTTATGCATTGACTATTATATTACAGCCAACTCGAGGGTTATACGCCCGAGTAGCCCCTCCTGATGCTCGTACAGCGTATATATATGTATATTATCTACACGTATAGGTATTAGCTCGATGTATACAGTAACCAAGTACAACACCCCCTCTCATTGAATGATGCAGCGGCCGCGCAAAGCGTTTGGTCGGCGATTGCCAAAGAAGAAGATGGGAAAGGAGAGAAACGGGAAAGTGGATTTATCGAACGCCTTTCACGTGTCGCTTATCTCGAGGGAGAAGATAGACGAGGGATGGATTGGAGTTGTCTATACGTATACATATATATATATATACACATAACGGGGTGAGGGTGGTGTAAAATTTTTTATTTCCCGTTAAATCGGTGTTCGATTTGGAGTTGTGGGGATCATCGATCACTTTGCAGAGGTGGGGTGTGGGCGAGTTTTTTTTTTTTTTTTTTTGGATAAATATATATGCCCATGTTTGTTGGCGTTGCGTGTACACATCACGTACCCCCATAAATTGGGACCGATGCTGGACCGGGGTATAATTATCACCGACGCGCCTGATGAGGTATACCGTATCGTGTGCTCTTGACTTGAAAATTGAATTTTAAATTGCGGTATATGCTTTGATAAGTAACGATGGCGCGCCAGCTGTGGGAGAGGAACAACGAGCACACTCGGGAGGGATGAAAAATGAAAATGACGGTGAATCCTTGGGATTTTTCAGAGAGCAGCAGCAACAGCAGCGGGGGCAGCAGTGGCAAGGCTGCGACTAGCAAGCGAAAAAAGTCCGAGGCCAGTGCCACGGTGGTGGGATTGGCGGTAACGGCGTCGACGACGGCCACGACGACAACGACGTTGTCAGCAGCAGGAAAGGAGCCGACGGCGGTGCAGCTGAAACTCGGGGCAAGCGGTGGCGGAGCGACGATTGAGGAGAGCAGGTCAACGCCGGGTTTGGTGTCGCTGAGCGACGCGGCCGAGGACGCCGAGTCGGCCGAGCGCAAGAAGAAGAAAGCCCGGACGACCTTCACCGGCCGGCAGATCTTCGAGCTCGAGAAGCAGTTCGAGATCAAAAAGTACCTGAGCTCCTCCGAGCGCTCCGAGATGGCCAAGCTCCTCAACGTCACCGAGACCCAGGTGAGCCGATCGCAAAATCATTGGCCCGGAAAATTCAATTGTTCGCGCACCATCGATCATTTTGTACCATCCATTTGCTCCCCGTTCGTGCACTTAATGACCAATTGTTAACAAAACGAGTTGGCCAACAATTAAGTATTGTACACATCGGTGAAATTATTCAAAAGCATTTGGGTTTGCAAAACAAACGATTTCGTGTGGTCAAAGAGATTCGGTGGCTATAAAGATAAACAAATCGACACGCCGAGTGGGGAGATATGCCCACCTCGTTTTATCATTTGTTATGTACGCAATTTTCGATCCTTTAGACCAACAATCGCGCGAGGACCGCAAATTTCGAGGGTCACAATGTCGCTATAGGTTTGTCATGGACATTGTATACATAAATATATATACGTGTAGATGTGTGCGTGCGTATGTAACTCCGTCGAGGAGAGCCACGCCATTTCCGTGTTTCCCCGGACTCGCGTTGGAACGAGAGCTGTTAACTAATTAACATAATGTTTGGTCTTCTCCGTAACGTACGTATATACACATACACTTCTTGTCGCAAGTTTCGCGCGTCTGTGTACGCGTAAAAGTAAAAGCAACGTCAACGCAACCGGGCATACGTATAATATATTGTATGATTGTTATACATATATTGTCATACTTGCGCGTAATGTATGCAAATAGGAGGGGTATGGAGTATAGGATGTGCACGTATGGAGTGGTGGCGGCAGTAATTGGTTTATAAGGAGTTGCACAAGTGGCCGCGACGGTTCGGGGAGTTTGGTGGCATTGGTGTTGCCGGGGCGTATCAGCGGCTATCAAAACCATTAGTGGCAATCAGTGACAATTGCTGGCACGCAGCCCACGGTATACGAACACCTTGTCATTGTTATTATTACAAATGCAAATTATATGGCTTTTCTCCGCGTACAGTTTGATCGTTTAGGTGTTCAGTATGCATAAATATATTATGTGGCCCATCCCTTTGACATCGTCCAACGTGACAAGCGCAAGTGTCGTAGCAGCTGGTACTTTTTTTTTTTTTTTTAGTTTTTCATAATTTATTTATTACTATTAATTGCAAAGTACGAAGCTCGACTGGCAAAATTAGCGGCATTCGGCTATCCGTCGTTTTGGCTTTTTAATGGACGACGCGCGCAAGCTCATTGTAATTTCCCCGATATAAAATTGATTTTTTTACCATATATATATCCTTAGGTATACATAGACAGCAAGAGACTCGTGTAAAATACACCACGCCAGCCCTCCTCGAATGCCGGGCTAAACGCTACCTTTTTTTTTCTCTCTTTCTCCCTCCGTTCGTGCGGCCAGCTGTTATTTGCACGCGCGCTCGGCTAAACGATTTGGCGGCGGCCCAAATTATGTGCTACACTGCTACCGAACTACCTAGTATTTTTAAGTAGATTAACGGAAATGTTAACTGCCCCGGCCCCACCCTCTCCCCAAAGCTTATTGGGCTCTCCCTGTATATCTCTATCGGCTCTCTTCACTTGGGACTTGGGTTGTCGACTTTTTTTTTTTTTTTTTTTTTTCATGCCATCGCGCAATGTGTTTCATACTCTTACTCCTCCTACCTTTTTCCGGTTAATTGGATGTTATGAAAATTATACGTGCTCTTGTAGTACTTTTTTACATGCGAATCACCGCGAATATTGAAGTACACTACGATAGTTTTTTTCTTTTATCATATTTTCAATTTTTTACATACATTCACGAGAAACAAAGCCAATCTATAATTATATATTATACCTCTACCGCATCGGATGAGTTTGCACGAGATGAGCGCACCACATTTATTATACGTATAATTTTCCATTAATCGACACGATGCGACCTGAGCTTTTTGCCGTATATAATATATATACGTTAAAAGATAATCCTCCCATCGTTTGGTTTTAATTTTCATTACAGTGGTTAATTATAATAAAAAGTTCATACGCGCAGCATCGCGCGTTCAACCCCACAAGATGTAAAATTTCAAAATTTTAAACACACGATTGAAAAAAAATAATGAATAAATAAATAAGTGGATTAGTGCTCTTTCGCGTTTTCACTCTGGTTACATGACCCAATGTAAACTGTCATTTGAAATCGCGTTCAAGTGACGATTAAATATGTACAGTCGTAAAGCTTGGCAATAACTTGTTCGTTGTTCCCGACCGATCGTGTCCGGGGGCAGGTGAAGATTTGGTTCCAGAACCGGCGGACAAAGTGGAAAAAGCAGGACAACATAAGCAACGCCGAGGCGGCCGAGCACAAGAACCAAAACAACCCCAAGTCGGGTGGTCAGGGTGGCCCGGGCTCCAAGTCGTCGGGCAAGCACCACCAGTCGAAGGACATGTCGGAGCTCAGCTCGGACTCCAACAACTCCCTGCTGGTGAGCGACGGCAACTCCGTGCCCGACAGCAACAGCAGCCGAACGATCGCCTCCCCCGACCCGTCCCCACGACCTGCCAGCAACAGCGGCGCCTCGGCGAAAATCAGCTCCCGCGACCTCGTCGCCGGCAAGGGCCAGTCCAGAATAGCCAACCTCAACGCCAAGGAGCCGCCGGACGACGATGCCGGGGTGAGACCACCACCTATACACTTACACACGATCGTCACTTGATTTTTTTTTTTTATCATTATCATTGTCATTGTTTTACCATCCCCAGACGAGTAGTCTCGAAGCTCTGGAGTTGTCGTCCGTTGGCCACAGGCAGTTGTCTCCGTCGCCGTTGAAGAGGCCGACGACGCCTACCGATGACGAGAGGCCGGACGAGGAGGACGAGGACCTCGAGGGCACGGCCAAGGTGAGGACGAAATCGAGCTCGAGCCCCGAGTCGCCCGACAGCTAACCAGCGACGGACTCGTCGGCCGTTGCTGCAGTGGCCAAAGTGGGACTTTTGTGACGTGGCTTGGCTCGCCTGAGCTCTGGACTCGCGATAAGTGGCCTGTGACGATCGAACTGATGATGCACGGTAGTTTTTTTTTTTTTTTTTTTTTTTTTTACTCTTAGCGTAAAGATGATCGGGTGACTGTGAGAAAAACTTTCTTGTTCGCGTACAATGTGTTGGCGTCGGTGGTGTCGTTTGTTTTCTCGAGAACAGCTCGATTGTAGGCGGGGTTTTCCCGCTCGTACTTTTATGTACGGGCCACATTGCAACGTCAAGTAGTGTTTTTTTTTTCGTGAGACGCTTCGCCGACTGATGTAAGCGGCAGCGCGTCGAGGTGCGGGACGTACGCGCGAGTCCCGCGACTGTGATTTTAACCGATTTCCTGCCTCATACAAATTGAAGAAAATGAAGAAAAAAAAGAGAGAGTCAGTTTTTCCTAAAAGTAACGGTATGCACGTATAAAAAAATTTTAAGGTAAGATTTAGGTTCTGTAATCGCCTATGAATTGAACAAAAAAAAAATAAAATAAAATAAAATAATTGATAAATCGTAGCACATGTGACATAAAAGCCAATTTGTAAACATTTACGTACCTGCGAACACAATTTATTCCGCTTCTACGATCGATGAATGCATTCATCCATGCACGAAACCTTGCCTCTCTTTATTCTTAAATAAAACCTATCATTAATTATAATATACATTGCGTAATTTAAAACGACAAGCACGTGGTAACCTATTGATCTATAAGATTACTTGTTATAACGACGCGGTAGAATATAGAGCGAATTTTCTTTTTGGTAATAAGTACGAGATATAGAAAGGAAAAATTATAAAAGATAAAACGACCAAAGAATAAATAATTGTAGAGGTTGAAGTCTGCTACATTGGCGGGCACAATTATACTGTATATATACATACGTGATGTGTGAAGAACTATTTCCATACTTGTCGCATTTTTTTTTTTTTTTTTATTACTAAGCTTTTTATCTACAAAATACGGTGTGTTTGATTTATCAAATCAAATATAATATCTTCATCCACCGATTTTTATTTTAACATGTATTGTAAAACTACATTTACAATGAAAATACCTGATGATTTTAAGAAAACTAATCTTTTTTTCCAGTTTATCATAAACAAATATTGTAAAACTTTCGTTGTTGTAGTCGAAAATAATTTACTACGAAAGAATGTAAGTAATGCTCGAATATATTATTTATGGGATGGACTGGGCAGTTTCATAAGCCTCACAAATGATTTAACTAAAACCAGAAACGTTTGCTTAAAATTTACAAATTATTTACATCAATCCATTTGAGATCTGCGATTTTTTTTTTTTAATTTAATCACTCAAAGGCTGTTTGTAACTTTGCGATGAACCAGTAAAACCAGCAGTATAAATATGATGTTATGAAATTGCCCCGCTCTCTTCACCCGTATAATATCTCAGAAAGGTTACTCAAGAGATAAAATGTAATTTAGACTGACAACATTAATGTTTAGTGTGCAATATAGAATTACAAGCCAGAACACAGTTGTTGTTGTTGTATATTTACTTTAAAAAAAAAAAAATTAAGAGTATATAGTGTATACTTCGGTGATTAAAGTTAATCATTTTTATGTTTCTCATAAAGTAACGCGAGTTTATTATAAAATTTCGAATTGATAGTTTTTTCAATTGTAAAAGCTGCAGATGTCTCTACAATGTATGGAAAGTAAAAAATAAATTAAAAATATAGTTTTTATAGATTAAATTTGTGTGTAAAGTTACATTATTGGTATCGACGATAATCGAAGATAAGGTATTACCTTCGTAAAATAATGTAAACGACGACTTAGGAGAAAACAAAAAAAATCAGCCTTTGTTACTTGCAAATGTAACGAATCAACATATACTAGTAGGAGCAAAAGACATGACAAACTTGAATTTTTCCAAGACGTCCTCGGACCTAATGAATAAGCTTCTCGTTATAAAAGTGTCAACTATAGTAGTGGACCTACATAATAAATAAAAGGTATAAAAGTTATTTTTCATTATTTTCAGACAATCTATTTATAAAGTTTTTTAAAAAGATCCCAAAGAAATTGCGACACTAACTCTGGCCTTTTTTAACACTGGGTAACTTTTAAAGTTATTTAAGGATGTGGTAAAATTTTTGCAAGGCAGACATGAAATATAATCCTAAAAGAAGAGTCTTTTTTCCTTCTTTAATTATTGTTTCAAAAAAAAATTCTAAAAACTTTAATTATAATATCTTTAGTTGAATATTTAAATATTCAAAATCATAACTTATTACGACAATACTAAATAAATAATTTTTTCAAGTATTATGTGTTATCATATGAGTAAAAATGTAAATATTCTTTGTAGTTTCGATACATTGCAGGTAAAAAAGCCTGAAAAAAGTTTAAGAAGTAAGAAGCGTCTGGCTGAGTGTCGAATGGGAAACCGGTTTGTAATTAAAAGTATAAAATTTCACTCAATGAATTTTGCTTGTGTCACAACTTACATTTGTCAGTCAATTGCTAGTTTTCGAAAAATACGCATCGATTCTCCTAATATCAATCATACTAATGTATTATACATCACTTGCGAATGAAAGAACTAATCGCAAAGTTTTTCTAGCCAATTATATTTATCGTTAGATGGACAACACAAAATGTAAATCCAAAGTTTGTCAATATTTTTGCGCCAAACAAAAGTGTCAATAAAACTCAATATATTGTATCTCAAAAAGATTCTACTTTTCTTCTTCAATATCGCAAATAAACACATCATGTGGTAAAAATTTGAAAAAAAAAAAAATACACCAATTAAAGTTAGTTGTAATTTTTTGTTATCCTACAAAAATATTGATTTGCAAAAAAGTTATCCAACTGTTCTACTCAATACTTTAGTGCAAGGCTTAAATTCAATTATTTTTTCCAATTGTTGAAAGTTATTAAACAATAACCCATATTCTTAACTTTTTTTATTGACAAATGCTAACAACGCATTACACCGCGTATCTTTTGAGTATCATAGGTACAATGTTTTTAATTGCACCGCAGTACAATCAAAATGCCTCTCAATAATGTAATAAATATGTGTACGTATGTACACACAACTTTGTTCTTGCATCACACAAATATAAAACATAGTCGCTTTATTTATACCTAAATGAACACACAATTAGTCCTCTCAGTTTAAATTTAATTTTAGAACTACGAAGTAAAAATTCAGCAAAACGTTCTTGTTGCTAGCAGCTTTTACATAAAAAGGTGTCATCTACATTAACAACTGAGATTTTAATATTATTTCTGATAAAATAAGACACGGTAACTCTCATAGATCTGTGTACATTTGTAAAGAAGCATTACAAACCACATTAACTCAAAGTATCTTACAGGGACGAAAAAGCGGTATTCATTTGGGTGATGGCCTTAGGAAACTCTCACATTGATAGGTCAATGTACAGAGTCAAAGTAAAATTTAAAAAAATATACTTTATGAGTTATGCGCAAAATGTCCAGCATACACATAATTCTACGACTTTTTATCATTTTTATGCACAACCTGAAATAGTAGTTTTTGTTTTGATTTTGTAAATATTAAAAAAAACTATATAAACTATATACAATGTAAAAAAAATTTTTTAAAACACAAATATAGAAGTAACAGTCTAATAACAAAAATAACATGTTAAAAATTTTTATATTGTTTGCATATTTGTTTAATATTTTGAAGGCCAAAATAGATAGAGCTTAAAATATTTTAACGTATACGTCTGTAAGTACACATCAAGTACATTTCTGACGATTTCTTTGAATTTTATTTCACATGTATACTATTTGAGCATTTTTCATTAACCTTGAAGTCACATATACAAATATATGTTTATTCTGATATGTATAACTTTCAAGTACAGTTTATTAATATTGATACATAAATAATTTCAACAAAATAAAAGCCCATGTAACAATACGTTGTATTGTTGTAGGAATACGAATGTTATTTTAAAGACAATTATGGAAATTAAATCATTAGTAAATAATTTCCAAGAATTATATGCGTACAAAGTCAACCTATTTGCCTCATAATCTGTGTGAAAAAATACAAATTATCACAATTATGCTAAACAGATAGACATCGAAGAGTAAAAGAAACAGATAAATTGGAGGGACTGTAGGGGGCACTAAAAATAGGAAGTTTGGATGAAGTTTAAGAAAATTTCCCTTATTTTGTGGGGGCCTATAAGGTGACTGTAGAAGGTACGTGGAGGGCTATATATTAGACGGGATGAAATCAGCAATCGACCAGAAAAATTTTACGACTCATTAACTAAAATAACTACTTTACGTGTCAAGTTTTTAAATAATTAGAGTGGTAGATTTCTAGTTTCCAGGGTTTAATGTGTACAATTTTTTTTTTTTTTTTTTTTTTAAATCGTTAATCATTTAATAAAAAGCTAATTCTTGGATTTGGGAGAAATAAAAGTTTACATATTTATACGTTTCACAATACCACAGTCATACAAGTATTTGGTTTGGACTAACAGTCTTCTTTTTCTACACATAATTTTTGTATTCTCGTAACGTTTCCAATGAAATTCTCGTTTAAGAAAAATTATATGTGCCCACAGTGTTTCTCTCTCTAACNTTTTTTTTTTTTTTTTTTTTTTTTACTGCAATGAACAGTGTATAAAAAGCTAATTAAAGGAAATAAAATAAACCTTTACGTGCATATTTATACGTTTCACAATACCACAGTCATACAAGTATTTGGTTTGGACTAACAGTCTTCTTTTTCTACACATAATTTTTGTATTCTCGTAACGTTTCCAATGAAATTCTCGTTTAAGAAAAATTATATGTGCCCACAGTGTTTCTCTCTCTAACTATAATGTTAGTCTAATAATCATCGGATTTGTACGAGCCATTGTAAGTCCCCTTCCTTGGTTCCATGTCCACTTCCTCGCTAGTGGAGTTGTCGGTGGACGAGGAGACATCCGCGTACTTGTAGAACATTGCCATCACCGCGAAAATGGTTATGTCGATGAACATGAGTATGGCAAACAAGAGAAACTCGAAAACCTGCAATAACAATATTCGTAAATTAGTTAAAATGACTTGACCTTGAAGTACAAAGATATTACCAGGCAAACACTCAAATAACAACATAGTACCATCGACTGGAATGACATCGTGAGAAAAATATGATATGAAAACAAACCATAGTCGTTTTGTGACTAACTGTATACGTATGCAAGGGACAACAAAGTGACCAACTGCTTCCATACAATTTAATTTTAAATACCTAGTCCACATACCTGTCTGTCAAAGAAATGAAGTTTGGCAATGACTACGACTATCAGGTTGCCAAAGGCGACGGTGAGCAGCCATCCAGCAGTTAACAGAGCCTTCATACTCGCGGGGGCCTGGGTGAACGCGAACTCGAGTCCCGTAATGGAAAACATGATCTCGCCCATAGTTATTACCACGTACTGGGGCAGCAGCCAAAGCATGTGCACCGTGTTGGGCTCAGCCAGCTGCACTACCCTCAGAGCCGCCGGTTCCTCCCCCATTTTGCTGCCCACAATCGTGAACACGGCCCCATTTTCCATAGTCACGTCCTTCAAGACCAAGTTGTCGTCAAAGTACACGTCGTAGCTGTGGTGCCTGATGTCTCTGAACTTCGTCACGTTGAAGGTACTCGTCAAAGCGAAGTCGTAGCTCATGTCGCCCTTGAGTGTGAGGGTGGCGTTTTTCGGAGAATCGCTGCCCAGGAAAATGGCCGTGCGCACTTTGGGGTAGCCGGAAGACGACTTGGAGATCTCGTCGTTGTACCCGAGGGTGAACATCTTCCCACTGGGCAAAAGGGCGACTGTCGTGGCCTCCCCGTTCTTGAGCTCAATGGTACCCGAGGCTGTGATGTATTAAGATAATAATTTTATTAATGCTGTTTCATATTAATTTAAAAAAAAAATGTGTAGAATAAGGTTGATGTACGTGGAGTGTCGCACCTTCGCTGTTTGAGGCTGACGTGCAATCTTTGAAAGTGGCGTGGTAACCAACGGTGACGTCGTCTTCGAGTGGGATGCTCAAGTTTTGGTACATGTCCAGGGATTCGAGGACGAACTGGTCCTGGCCAATGGACATACCGACTGGGCAGTTGAGGGTATTGAAGAGCCTGAGCTGGGCCATGCCGGTTTGTGGCTTGGCGATGTACGTGGACTCGATGTTCAGCTCCACCAGGGCCGAAATGAGGAAAGAAACGGCAGTGAAGAAACCGCCGACGGTGAGCTTCTTCAGGGGCGTGTTGATGAAAAAGAACTTCTCCATAATTGGGTAAATCGCTATCTTGAAGATCGGGATGAAGATGAGGATGAACAGTGGATTGACGACTTGGAACTGGTCGGCCTTGATGTGGTAACCGAAGACATTTCCGTTCATGTTGACTGCCTGGAAGGTCCATCGCGAGCCTTGTTGGTCGTACAGGGCCCAGAAAAATGGCAGAGGAATGAAAAGGGTCAGCACCTTGAGGACAGACTTGACGTCGTCGAGGAATCGCCTGTCGTACTTGTCCTCGGCAAGGTCGAGCCAGTGGTCGCATTTTTCTTTGGAACTTATCTTGCGACCTATGGCGTGCTATGGAAAACAGTAAACTATTTTCTTTTTGTTCCACTAAATGTAACATATACTTCATGTGTCGATATAGCAAATCGCAAATCACAGTTTATTTTCTTCAAGTCACACAAATTTTAAATTTTTAATTATAATCCTGACAATTTTCATCAACTATGGAGATATTTTTTGAGCTATAAAATACTGAAATCGTAAATTTTGGAAAAAAACACATTACGTGGGACATGGCAATAAAACTTTACTGACTTATATAACGTAAAACAAGCTTTGTTTCAAATAACTTTAATATTCAGTGACTGACTAGCGCATTTATTTATCTTATTGTTCGCGTAAAAAAAAAAATTTAAGCATTTCTGACACATTTTTAATTTTTGGCTCGCTCGCATTAATAGATAAAAGATTTTTCAAATTACTCACACAAATACATCCTATTACTCTGACGAAGATATTTCCTTCCGGTTGCTTGCGCGTATAGAAATTTTTACCAGCAAAAAATATGACTGGAAAATTTAAATAATGAATGATCAACAATTCGATTAAATCACAATAAAGGTAATTTATTAAAAAAAAAAAAAAAAAAAATGTTGATCCTTACCTACGGAAACTACCATAAGAATAGCAGGTACAAAGAAGGCCAAAGGAAAGCAGGTCTGTTGGCCGTAACATTTGAAGTCTTCTCTTAGAATTGGAGTAATTATCGTCGAGATCAGAGAGCCAGCGTTTATTGCGAAGTAAAAGAGAGAGAAAAATGTTGACATGTACTTTTCTTGCTGAGGCAATTTGAACTGGTCGCCGCCAAAGGATGAGACGCAGGGCTTTATTCCACCCGTGCCTAAGGCTATCAGAAGAAGTCCCACGAAAGACACCAACCTTTTTGTTAAATTTATTTTTTTCTAATTAATAGTGTTTTATTGTAGATAAATTTTTTTTTAAATCAATTATACTCGAGGTTAATAAACGGGCACAAAATGGACCAAGAAAATGAAAGTCAAGATGCAGTAGAAACTCCAAAAAAATTTGAAAAAAAGTCAATGTAAATTAGAGATTCGTATGGCACGTATATGTAGCCCTGATGCATTACACCATAGCAAAGTCAGTCATTGGCATAAACAAGGTAAAATCAAAATGATATAAGGAGACATAAAGAATAAAGGATGAAAACGTTTTTTTGCAACATAGATTTCCAAATAATATCGTGCCATTCATACTCTTTAAATATTTATATGATTTTGTTTGACACGTGATAGTAACATATACTTTGTGGATGTGTAGTATTTCTGTGACTCACGTGACAGGTAGGTGCAGTGGTGGTACTGAGCTAGCGGATAGCAAAAGTTGGCCCAAAGCATAAACGATGCTCAGGTAAAGGATCGTTCGGTATTTTCCTAGCCAAGAGTCGGAGATTATCCCTCCCAATAGTGGGAAGAAATACGCCATCATAACAAATACGTGGTACAATACTGTTGCCTCATTTTGGGAGAATAGCAATATATTCGTGAAATAGAGAGGTAAAATTGCTGAAATAAAAAAAAAAAGTTCTCTCAATTTTTATTTTGGAAAAAATAACTTATTATTACCTGTTTAATATGAGGGATACATACTTCTGAGTCCGTAAAAAGAGAATCTTTCACAAAATTCATTACTGACGATGAAAAATACCGACTTTGGATAGGACATTTTCTAAAATGTAAAAATTTATTTTATTAAACATTTTAATTTGATCAACTAAAATTGATTCTATGCTTTAATTTAAAACACAGAGATTTAATGTTAAATTTAATTGATCAATTTTGATTATTCATCGTATGAGGAAAAAAATGGTAAGGTACATTATCATTTTAATCGCGTTTTATGAAAATAAAATGCAAATATTATTCCTTTTTGCAAAACACATTCCAAGTATATGCGCCGATAAGCATCTGTTTGTAATGTGCAGAGAAAGGTCTGATGATACGTGAAATAATTTTTTTTTAGATTATGTCACCAAATTTCTATAAAACAATAGTGAAAATCGAAGAACATTAGATATAAAATCGACCATCGGTTCATTGAACCATTACAACGATGAATCATTTTTATTTGAATGGTTTAATGAATATAATGTGTGCATCAAGTAATCGTCTATAGTACATAACGAGAATTTTTACTATTTAAAAATTTAATAAAATCACGAACTCACAAGCATATTTCGTGTTTTATTTTACGGAGAAAAATTGTTTATTATGTCAAATGTCTCGTTGTACTTATCAATTATAAAATTATTTATTATGCAGTATCCAATTATTCGCCTTATCTTTTCAAGTGGTAATAGAAGTCATTTGCAGCAGTTAAGGTATTTTTTAAATTTCAGCAAAAGAAGTTTACGTAATGAATATGTTTAAAAGCGAACGTTACATTATTTTAGGTATTATTAAAATTTTATATTTTTTTAAAGCGTAGTTAAGTAAAAAATAAAAACAATTTATTACGAGAGTTTATACATCGAAAAGTTGCCAATGTATCCTCGAGAGATTCACGTGTGTATATAATGTTCTGCCGTGAGATTGACCAACACTCGTGCATGACGCAGTTTATTGAGAATAGGAAAAAAATAATAATAATAAAAAAACAATTTTAATTACAATGGCATTGAGAAAAAAAAGTACATCCACAGACTGAAGTATTATTAATCCAAAGAGCTATGCGTTCAAAGGCCAAGTACTTGTAGCGCGTTGTTTTTGGATCCGATTTTTTCGTATACTGGTCAGCAGCACCTTACATCACCATCAAACACGATAATTTTCAAGCGACAAATGAGTAAAAAGGCCGATCGGTATGCACTCACCGAGACAACTCCATCTTCTATGGCCATCTTCGCAGCAGGTAGGAGCCAAAAGATCGGCAAGTATCTTTTTTCGAAAATCTCCTACTGAAAATCGGCAAGCCGGTCTCTCGAGATGTGTGCTCTTCGCGCCTCTGAGCCCAAAGCATGTACGCGCGACTCCGGCTCGGTGAAATGTGTTATGTGTACCGGCCACGGCCGATTTCTCTGTTAGGAAGCGGCCCACTTATTGTAGTACCTACACCTTCACTGTCGACGAAATGGGCGATCTGTTGGCGGCAAGAGCGCGAGCGCGACTGAACTTTGACGAAGTTGCGCGATGGTTGTGCCGGTGTTCGAAGGCAACAGCCTATGCGTATAAATACAAACCTGCGTATATACGTGCTGAATACACATCATCGAGAGAAACGCGACCAGGAATGGGGGGGGGGACACACACACGTTCGTGCACTTGAAAACCTCGCGTTACGTTTAAATGGTTTATAAAGAGACCCACAGGTCAGCCGAGTCATTCACCCAATGTACCTTATACCTGCAACATATAGTGGACATAGTGTACATATATTATGGGCATGTATAATTTATAGATGTATAATTTTTGGTATTACTTGATCGGTCCTAATCTTCTGTTTCCGATTTAAAAAATGGCCCGAAGCAATAACGATGCCTTACTTTATCTTTATTTACTTTTAATAACGATGCATATAGGCTCCGTTGATAAAACATTAATGCGAAAATATGCCGGTGAATCACGAGAGATAATATGTATTTTGTAGTTATTGCAATGAATTTAACTGTGCGCAAAAATTACCCTCCACGTTTTAATATGACATGTACCAAGTATCATACAACAGTAAAATTATTGTGAAAATTTTTTTATTTAGCTTTCGATCATAAGGTAAATCGATGGATTGAATTTTTTTTCATACGATGATGTATGTATGTAAACGGGCACGATCGAGTACAACGAAATCTGCAACAATCTTCGTGTTTGATTAATGTTGTTGACAAATACAAAACCGATGTGAATGGTGCTATCAAGTGTAGGTTTTTCCATGTCACGCATACATCAGATACTTGCGTGTCATATTATTCAGTGTATGAAAAAAAAAGGCTTTGGAATGACAAATATTTGTTTCAAGTCTAAGTAACACGCTTACTGCACGTATGAGAAAAAAAGCAAAAAAAAAAAAAAAATAGAAGTCCATCAGTTTAGCCAAGATGACCATTTCGAGCAATCATCGTCATGCAAAAACATGTTACAAAAGTATTTTTTTTTTTTATTTTTAGATCGTGTGGAAGTAACTGTTCGCAATAAAAACGTCAAACGTGTTACCATAAATCCAAAACTGTCAGTAAAATCCAACGATCTCGGAGCAAGGAAAACCTATGCAAAATCGGAATCGCATGAAAATGCATAGAAACGCTGTGGCAAACACTACGTAAGTACATTGCGTTTTAGAGCAGGTCGAAACACATTGCAATGAACCGTTGAGTGGGGGGGGGGACAAAAGGTGATTCATCTCGTACAAATGTGAGCAGCGTGTATACGGTACAGTTGGAAAAAATGTTCATGCAAATTAGTCGCTGCAAAGTATATACTTTTCAAGGCCTACGCTAAGCTCTAGAGTTTTTCGCACCGATAACAGAGAGTAAAATTAGGTGATAGCCGATGCCAGCGATCGAACTCGAGTGTCACTGTCACAATACACATCATAAGGCAGGTGATCGCGCTCCCGTGCAATGTATTAAATATATAGCCGTGCGACGAGAAAGGAAAAAGTGCGTCGTAGAAACGCCACCGTCGCCTTACGTAACGCAACGCCTCTCATGACCCGATGAGCATTTAACTTGCGTGCCGACAATAATTGACGGCAATATCTGTACGTTCGTGTACATGCTGGGCGATAGTGTATTTTACGATCGAGTACTCCCACACGATCGGGAGAACAATTAATTCGCCTGATGTCTTATCTTACATCTAAATCCATCTAAATCGCGCGAATCGACCTACATATTTTGTTTTGTTTCTTTATCTCTTTTCTACGTATCGAGTACAATTATAAATTATAACCGTATACGCATTATTTTTAATTTTTACAGGAGATTATCCCTCCCAATAGTGGGAAGAAATACGCCATCATAACAAATACGTGGTACAATACTGTTGCCTCATTTTGGGAGAATAGCAATATATTCGTGAAATAGAGAGGTAAAATTGCTGAAATAAAAAAAAAAAGTTCTCTCAATTTTNTACAATTATAAATTATAACCGTATACGCATTATTTTTAATTTTTACAAATATAAAAATTACTTTTATTTCATTGAGAGTATACTACTTGTGCTTGTTTTTCCATTTCTTTCGTACACCCATGCTTTAGCAGCTGAAGTCGTTTTTCCGGTCCGCGTACATTACTTTGTGAAAGTAACATTTTTTAGTCTGACAATAATTATACTGTGTTGTGAAGCTTTTTTTTTTTTTTTTTTTTTTTCTCGAATAAACTACGAGCAGCTGGTTCGTGGTCAGAATATTTTTTAATCATAGAACTTAAATGTGGATTGATAAACTTTCATCAAGTGTTTAACGATTGTATTCCTCATAATTGGAAGCCTTGAAAACGTTGAGCAAGCTACCATAATTTTTTTTAAATCATCGACTGTAAATTAATTTTTATAATAATAATAATTTGAAACAGTACCAATTAACTTAAACAAAATATTGGTCGTAAAATATGTAGTTTTTACTGAATTTTCAACATAATAAATGTCTTATAGAATTTAAGCTTACTTTTTTATTGCTCAATATAATTATCTAACTCTGATGATACTGTAGTTGAAACAAGTTGTTACGTTCTATTAGAAATAGTACTACGAAATAAAATAAAAAATATTACAGCTCTGCGATGTATACCTGTGCAAACAAGTTTAAAAAAGTATGACTCGATTCCGGCTTTGAATTCGTGTTTAGCGCCCCGAAGAGGACTGAGCGCATGTCGTGTCGCTTTTTTACTTTTTGCCCATTTTTTTTTTATTTTATGACCCCGAGTATAATCACGTCGTTTGTTGGTTTTTAATTTTACGAAAGGAAAATTTTTTAAAACTATTAATACTAACCATATGTGTCAATTGATATTCTGAAGATTCATATTTATTTTTATCGATACGAAACACAATTAGGTTATTGATTCTTTTAACGTAAACAATTTTCAACAGGTTTTTCATGCTATAAAAAATAATTTAAATACACAACAGGCAATTATTTATCAGTGAAAATAAAATACATATATTACGTCTAAATGTAACCAATGTTATTGAAATATTTAATGTAATTCTTTATTTATACTTGACTCGAGATAAAAATAATGTCCTTCGGCATGTGAAATTTTTGTTGAAAAATTTTTGTTGCATGTTTTTGTCTGAAAAAAAAAATATATTATTGCATCGCAGTGAACAAACAAAAGCCCCACACATGTGATCGATTACATCGGGCGAACGAAACGTGATAGCAATGATAAATTTATTATCATACTGTACGTATAAATACGAGATTACTAAAATTTCTCCCGTCTCTGATTTCTTTATCTATTATTTATGATAACAATATCAATTTTATTTCATGTGATTGAGATCAGAGATTAACATTTATTTATTTATAAACACACGAATAATTAATAATTATTTATTTCGAATTTTTTCAACATTTGTTTTTAATAATCATTAAAAAAGTTTTCATTCTGCAAAATAATTACTGCTGCTTATAATTTCAGCCTTCTGTAGATAAGTTAGGTACCTATACGAAGTGAACCACTCCCCCCTCGCATTCAGATCCGCCCATGTCTTAAAGAAAGCTTGTAGATATCTTTCAGATGGACATTAGAAGTCTCTGCGTTTGTTGGGCATTGGTAGGTATGCCAGATTCCACTCATCCACTGTCCACACCTATGGTCTACAGTGTCTACTGCATGCACGCACCATCAATGCTCTGCAAACACTCAAATTGATATAATATGCCTATACTTATCAAAAGAATTGCTTGCTCCATATGAGTTGACGTCGTGCAGGTAGCCATATTTAATTATTTACGTGCAAAACGTGCATACTTGCTATAGCTCAGAAAGCTAGCCTGGAGTTCTTTGCAACAAATTGTGAAATATTTTCGTAATCAGATTAATCGAAGTTACATACACGGGAGAAAAAGAAAAAAAATTTGAGTGCTATTTAAGTACTTGTAATAAGACGTGCAATCGTGTTGTTACTGTATTTACCTATTTACAAGCAAACGAAACATATATATATATATAGCTGAAAAAGTTGATCCCAGCAGACGAAGTGTCATACAAGGTAAATTGCTATTTATTCTCATAATATTTTTGAAGAAATGCTGTATATATATAGTCCGCGCAGTCATTAACCCTACATTTAGTGTTTATGTGAACTTTTTAAAAACTTTGTATGACAGAAACTACAAATATATTTATTTATTCAAGTTCAGATGTAGAATAAGATATGTATATGACAAGACTTTGTAAAGATGCTCGTTGTTTAGTTTGATGTGTTTGATTATGGTTATGAGAGAGGCAAGTTAAAATTTATTGCTCCTATGCTCTCTGTCTCGCACTCGTTCTCATTCATTTTTCTCTCTCTGGTTTCTGTAGGCAATAAAAAAAATTCTTTTTCGTGCTTTCAGATCTGAAGTTCTGGTGTCGCAGGAATGACAACGATGAGGTTGAAACGAGCAGTCTAGTGTTTACGGCCACAATACGATGTATTTTCATGCTGACGTTAATGAGAGTGAATATCGGTACTGGTGTAGGATAAAAAACAAAAGAAAGCGTTACTTGAAAAATAAAGGGCAATCAATATTTGAAACATGGGTTTCGACTTGACCAGATTCCAGGGTACTGTTGACGAAGAGCTTATCTGTCCTATTTGCTCTGGTGTCTTGCAGGATCCAGTTCAGGTATAGAAATGCTTATCTTTAATTAGATTTTTTGTATCTAGTTTGTTTGAGTTTTTCATATTAGAAAATTTTCTCTTATTCAGGCCGCTGGTTGTGAACACGCTTTCTGCAAAATATGTATGAACGAATGGATTAGCCGCCAACCTACTTGTCCATTAGATAGAACACCAATTACACCAGCTCAATTAGTACCTGCACCAAGGATTTTGAGAAACTTATTATCCAGACTACGTATCAAATGTGACAACTTTGTTGATGGATGTCAGCAGGACATTAAATTAGATGCTCTCATGGCACATCTTGAAGAGTGTGAGTATAATCCTAAGAGGCCCGTCACCTGTGAACAAGGTTGTAGTTTGATAATTCCTAAAGATGAGATGAAAAATCACAATTGCGTGAGGGAGCTTAGAAACTTGGTGCAATCGCAGCATCAGAAATTGATAGACTTGAGAAGGGAGATGAGCGAACATCAATTTCAACTAAACGAACAGAAGAGAGAAATAAATTTGTTGAAAGATTTTATGAGAGCAATGAGAGTATCTAATCCAATGATGCGAGACATTGCTGATCAAATGGAACGTGACGATTTGGTCAGGTGGTCTGCCACTTTACCAAGAGCTAAAGTTACTAGATGGGGTGGAATGATTTCTACTCCTGATGACACTTTACAGGTAACCCATTGTTTATTTTAACACATCACACACTTACTTTGATGCTTGAAATGTTTATGGAAATCAATAATTTTTCAGACAATGATCAAAAGGACTTTATCAGAGTACAATTGTCCTCCACACGTGATAAATGACCTAATGGAGAATTGCCATGAGCGAAAATGGCCGACTGGCTTGAACTCCCTCGAAACTAGGCAAAGTTCAAGACGCCAGTATGAAAATTACGTGTGCAAAAGAGTGCCGGGTAAACAGGCTGTTATTGTTTTGCATTGTGACAACCAGCACATGCCCGAGGATATGACTATTGAACCAGGACTTGTCATGATATTTGCGCATGGCGTGGAGTAATTTTCGAGAGTTATATGAAAAAAACTATTTTTTATTAAAAANAAAAAAAAAAAAAAGAGATAAAAAAATAAGCTAAACACGCCGAGATAAAATACTGACAATTTTTATCAATTACCACGAATGCCTATTGTATTAAATTTAACTGTAAGATTGTGGAAGCATTATTTAACTTGATGGATTTGAGTATTTTTTGTAATTCTAGTTTTTATTTTTATTTTTTTATGAATATTTTTGGAAAAGTAAGAAGGTGTTAGTGACTTTTTAATGATTTGTACTAAACGACCATTCAAAAGGACTAAATGAAGGTTCATCTTCAGTTATCATTATTCTTAATGTAATGAAAAATGTGATAATTTACTTGTTAAATCAAGTGATTAATGTTATTTATACGTAAATATGTATATCAATACTCAAGTGATGCATAAAATCCAACGAGGTTACACATATAATCTTTTGCGTTTAAACATTTAAGGTAATAAAAAAAACGTTGAAAGTTATGAAATCTGGAATTTATTAATTCCACACATGTCCCACCAAAGAAAAAGAAAAAAAAATGGTTAACGATGCCCACGCGTAAAATGACAATCGTCGCAGCTACCGATTTTAACATACTCACACAAATAACACACGGTAGGAGCGATCGAGAGGAAAAAAAGGTTCATGTGGTCGTCGTGGGACTTTGGCCCTTTGTATACGTATTTACGTATTATATTCGAGCCGTGGACCCCGCGAGAAACGAATAGTCGAAGAAGGGAGAGGAAGCGCACACAGAGAGAAAGAGAGAGAGAGAGAGTCATGTGAGTCCAGCATCATCCGAGAAATGAAAGAGAGCAAAGCCGACTCCCCTTTTTTTTTTTTCTCTTCATTTTCCTCTCCTCCTCCGCATCCTCCTTCTCCGGTAAGTATATTCTCTCGTTCTTCCGAAGAAGGGAGCGAAAGAGAAAGAACACACGCGTGCGGGCCACCACCGCGAGGTAGGAGCGTAATACATTGTGCGCGTTCTCCAAAGACTCGCTCTTCCCTCAGTCCGGCACGAGAAGCCGGGGAGGAAGCTGAGTGAAACACACAAGTGCAACAAGAGTAGGCGATCTCGCCCGGTCCCCGGCTAAACGCCACCATCAGCTCACCCAAAAAAAAAAAAAAAAAAAAAAAAAAGTAAAAAAGAGTAAAAAAGAGGCTCATAGGTATAATAATATAGTACAAGTTGTACGTAGAAGCAAGTAAAACCTGGAGGGTTGGGGCCGATTGGGGTTTGATGATCGCAAGTAGGCGTCGCTGAGAGGCAGAGAGAGAGAGAGAGATGGAGCCGAGGGTGGCTCGCCTCCTCCTCTTGACATGTGTCGCGGGGCTGGTGTTGTCGGGGAGCCGCGCCGAGATCCTGACCCCGCCGTACTTCAACTTGGCCGAGGGCAAGGAGATCATAGCCACAGCGACCTGCGGCGTCGACACTCCCGGTCCAGAGCTCTACTGCCAACTGGTCGGCGCCAACTCGGACCAGGATGCCAACATCAATCAGAACATCATCCAGGGACAGGTTCGTTGTTTTTATATACCGTTCCCCATACACACATTCGATATTTCTCTGTCTCTCTTCGTAGCTGCCGATTTTTTTTTCTTTTTTCGTTTTTTCCCCTCTCTGTTATGCCCGTGGTTCGAGGGGGTCTGCCATAGCTGCGGGGATTTTCGGGCGAAGCAACACGCGCGGATCCATGGAGTTGTGCCAAGTTTATATTGTGTTCTATTAGGGGAAACATCAACTGGAGAGTCGTAGGAGACGTTGGAGGGCGAGCGATGAAACAGCTAATTCTTTTTTTTCCTTTTTTTTTTCAACATCATAACTTTTATTTTGCTTCGCGCGACGCGCATTCAGATCACCGAGTAGGACTTTTGTAAGTTGATTAAATTATCGTGTTTGGGCGATTTTTTCGGTCCAGTGTTTTTTAGATAAAGCACAGTTGTAAAGGCGCGCGTTGAAAGATATGAAATTGAAAAATAAGTTTAACGATGAAAAGAGGCAGATAAATCGACAAGAGATGATACGAAGCACATAACACATTTCGTCATTGCGTATTATACAGGCATTGGTTGTCCGATTGCGGGCACAGAGACGTCGTTTAACGCGGAATGCCCCGACTCGCGTAATACGTATTTTTATCGCGTCGAGTCCACATAAAATTATTGCTTCCCAGCCGAGTCGGCGATACTTGACACGCGTATGGAAACAAGAGCCCTCACATGCGTCTAAAGCGTTAAACGAGCGGGGTTTCGTCGAGAGGCCCCGACGATCAAAGAGAGAAAACGATAAGAGATAAATAACGCGAACCCTAGAATTGACCTCCCGATAATCGTGGCCCCGTTTTTTTTTTTTTTTTTTTATTCCCTCCCGACGCGACGTTTTCAGAAATTTTGGGCAGATAAAGAAAAACTCGAGCATCGGGACAGAGATGATTATGAGCTTGTTATTTAATTTCAGCAATGCGACTACTGCGACCCTAACGAACCCGACAAGAGACATCCTCCCGAGTATGCCGTTGACGGTATGGAAACGTGGTGGCAATCACCACCTCTTTCTAGGGGCAAAAAGTACGAGGAGGTCAACCTCACCATTAATTTGGGACAGGTGAGTTGTTATATGCTACTTCCAATTGGAAAATCCAGTGCCGTATACATGATAAAAACCCATGGTTTTCTGGGAAACGATGTATTTATCAGTCGACGAGTTCCGTGCAGGGCGATGATTTCCGTCCGAAGCGACGCATCTTATCTCACTCGGACGGATGCGAACCGCGATAGTCCGTTCAACCCCACCGCCCCTCCGTTATCGGACTCGTTTGAAATAACAGCCTCGTCTCTATCGAGGAACTCCTCTCCTATCTCCAATAAAGTGGAGTATTACGGATACAGACGCCACGTATATATTTATAAGCTCTTTTTGTCGTTTCCACCCATACGTGTATCACTGGAAAACACTTCCATTCAATTGCGTCTTTGAAATAAATGACGACGCGGATGCTCGATGGAGAAACAAAAAAAAAAAAACAAAAAAAAAAACAAATCTCCATGATGAGTTCCTCGAAGCTGCGGGCTGCACACATCTGGTGCCCAAACATACATCGGCCTCTCATTGGCCCTTTTTTCGGCTGCTCTGCGCGCTTTTCATATACTATTCGGAGAGAGCCGCTTTGTGCTCCTGCGTGGCTCGCTAACAGCAGCGTTTTAGGTCTCTCGTACACCCATTGACGGGGAAATCGACTTGGAGCGCAAACACGTAGCAGCTTGTGGGCGTCTATTTTAAAACTCCCGAGAATACGGGAGACGTTTGAAACGCGCGGACCATCGATTTTTCGAAGCTCTATGCTTTACGGGGCGGATATGTTTTTGAAAATGAGCAAACAAAACAAATGTTTGGTAAAAATACTTGAAAATATATCGATCGATGGAAGAGAAGAGTAGATGAATTTTAGCGATCTATCGTATACATTGGCAAAAAGAGCCATGGCGATATGAGCACTGCCGATGATTAGCGAGTATAAAGTAGATGCTAATAAAATGCATGGTCCGTTAACTCCCAAAGGAATTTCACGTGGCGTACGTGTACGTGCGCATGGGCAACTCGCCGCGTCCTGGGCTCTGGGTGCTCGAGAAGTCCAAAGACGACGGCAAGACTTGGTCACCCTGGCAGTACTTTTCCGACTCGGACAGCGATTGCATGACTTACTTTGGCATCGACAGCCACACGCCCATCACCCGCGACGACTCGGTCATCTGTACGACCGAGTACTCGAAGATCGTGCCGCTCGAGGGTGGCGAAATACCGATTTCCATCCTAAACAATCGACCCTCGGCCAAGCACTACTTCAACTCGACGGTCCTCCAGGAGTGGACGAGAGCCACGAACGTGAGGTTCCGCTTTCTCAAGACCAAGAATTTGCTCGGGCACTTGATGTCGGTCAGGCGGCAAGATCCCACCGTCACTCGACGAGTAAGATTTTTTTTTTTCTTTTTTTTCATAAATAGAAAAAAAAAAAAAAAAAAAAAACTGACGTTTAAACGGCGTTTGTTCGCTAGTACTTTTACTCGATCAAAGACATAAGTATCGGAGGGCGCTGCTTCTGCAACGGCCACGCCGATTCGTGCGACTCGTTGGACCCGGATCACCCGAAGAAGCTGTTTTGCCGATGCCACCACAACACGTGCGGCCATCAGTGCGACACCTGCTGCAAGGGCTTCGAGCAAAAAAAGTGGCGGCAATCGACAAACTCGAAAAAATTCGTCTGCGAGCGTAAGCCCGGATTCTTTTTTTCGTTAAAATAAAATCAAAGCAAAGCGAATAAACGCCGATTTATCGTCGCGACAGCTTGCAACTGTTTCGGCCACACCGAGGAGTGCACTTACGACGTGGAAATAGACGAGAAACACATGTCGCTCGACATTCACGGCAACTACGAGGGCGGTGGCGTTTGTCAAAATTGCCGGCACAACACCGAGGGCATCAACTGCAACCGCTGCAAGCCGAAATTCTACAGGCCGAGCAACAAGCCCCTCAACGCCACGGACGTTTGTCAGCGTGAGTTGATTTCAAACCTGTTGGCAACAACAATAGATGTGTATACATGTTATATATCTCCATGGGTTGTCTCGTTTCCAGCGTGCAAGTGCGATCATTTCTACTCGACCGGTAATTGCTACGACTCGACCGGCCAGTGCGAGTGTCGGCCGGAATACTCGGCTCCGAACTGCGACTCCTGTAGCTACGGCTACTTTGGCTATCCCGATTGCCGGCGGTGCGAGTGCCACCTCAACGGCACCGACGGTTACCATTGCGAAGCCACGGAGGGCCAGTGCCCCTGCAAGGAGAACTACGCCGGCCACTACTGCGACATCTGCGCCGAGGAATACTACGACTTTCCGAACTGTTTGCGTAAGCGACCGTTTATCCTCTTGATTTCGCTCGCGTTGCCTATATACAATGGTGGTTTGGTTCAACAATTGAAAGCCCTTCCTCTTATTTTATTTTTTTTTTTTTTTCGTGAATAAACTACGGACATCCAGCTTGCGAGTGCAACACGATCGGCTCGCTTAACAACGTTTGCGACGTTGAGTCCGGAAACTGCACCTGTCGTCAGAACTATGGAGGACGTAGCTGCGACGCCTGCGCGGATGGATACTACAACTTCCCCCAGTGCACGTGTGAGTCACCTAAAAAAAATTAAACGACCAGTTGAAACACGTACGTAGTTGGTAGTTGTATAAACATAAAAAAATATTCATAGATTGCGAGTGCGACATCCTGGGCACGGAGGCCGGGGTCTGCGACAAAACAAACGGTCAGTGCCTGTGCAAGGAGGGCTACGGCGGTCCGCGCTGCGACCAGTGCGTTACCGGCTACTTTGGCTTCCCGAACTGCGAGCCCTGCAACTGCAACAGGAACGGCTCGACCTCCGTCAGTTGCGACTCCAGCGGCAAATGCTCCTGTCTCTCCAACTACGTTGGCAGAACTTGCAACCAGTGCGCTCCAGGCTACTACAACTATCCCGAGTGCACAAGTTAGTGTGAACTTTACGTCAAACCGAGCTGATGGCGATTTTTCTTACGTTGCACTTTTTCTCGTTTACGTGTAGGCTGCGACTGCGACAGTCACGGCTCGATCGGCGTCTCTTGTGACCTCGAGGGCAAGTGCCAATGCCGCGAGAACTTTGACGGCAACCGTTGCGACCAGTGCAGGCCCAATTTCTACAACTTTCCCTTCTGCGAGGGCTGCAACTGCGACCCGGCCGGCATCGCCGGTACCTTCCAGGGCTGCGGGAGCTTGCCCGCCGGTGAGCTGTGCCAGTGCAAGGAACGCGTCGAGGGCAGAATTTGCAACCAATGCAAGCCGCTCTACTGGAACCTACAGGCTTACAATCCCGATGGCTGCGAGGGTGACTATTATATTGTTATGCATACGTTTGATCATTTTTTTTTTTTTTTTTTTTTTTGTAACATTGTGTACGCTTCACAGATTGCAATTGCAATATCCCTGGCGTGATCGGCAGCATCGGTGAGTGCGACGGCAAAACGGGCCAGTGCACGTGCAAGCCATCCGTCAGCGGTAGAAACTGCTCGGTCTGCGCGGATGGAGCCTACGATCTCCAGGAGAGCAATCTCTTTGGCTGTTCGCGTGAGTTTCTTACCTGTTTTCTCTTACCGATCTCTCGCTCGTGATGGCAGAACGTAAATACTCGATGATCGATTTTGTGCAGAATGCGCTTGTGACATTGGTGGTTCGCTCAGCCCCACGTGCCACAAAGAAACCGGCCAGTGCCACTGCCGGAGCCGCGTAGCGGGCCAAAAGTGCGACAAGCCGATGCGCGCCCACTACTTCCCGACCCTCCACCAATTCCAATACGAGGCCGAGGACGGCCGGACGCCGAGCAACCGGTCGGTGCGCTACGGATTCGACGAGGATCTCTTCCCCGAGTACAGCTGGAAGGGCTACGCCGTCTTCTCGGCCCTGCAGAACAAGATCATCCATGAGATCGAGATCCCCAAGTCATCGCTCTACCGTATGGTCCTGCGCTACGTGAATCCCAACAGCGAGCCGATCCTCGGGTCCGTCACGATAACCCCAGACAGCCACACCGAGGTCGAGCAGCACTTCAAGGTCCAGTTCAAGCCAACTGGACGGCCCTCGTTTGTCACAGTGGCCGGTGCCCAGGGCAACCTGCCCTCCGTCATGGTCATGAACCCCGGCCACTGGAGCGTCACGCTCGCCATCGAGAAAAGCCTCTTCCTCGACTATTTCGTCCTGCTGCCATCCGAGTACTACGAGGCCTCGATCCTCACCCACGAGGTCAGTCTACCCTGCGAGATTGGCTATCAAGGGCTCTGCCGGCACTTTGCCTACCCGAACCTGTCCCCCTTCGACTCCGTCACCGGGGCGGGAGGCTATCTCGAGGAAAACAACGCCCGGAGCCCGCCGACCGAGTACCTCAGCGAGGAGGAGACGCTCTTCGAGATGGACGAAAGCCACAGGCTCCCGCTCCTCAACGACGCGCAGAGGAGGATCAACTTTGAGTTCGCGGTCGCCAAGCCTGGACCTCACGTCCTGGTCATCTCGTACGTCACACCCTTTAACGACGATGCCCGCACTGCGACCGTCTTTGTCGAGACCAACACGATGGACAGGGGCAAGGTAGCGCAGCTTCTATAGTTACTTTTGTACCTCTCGTCCTTCCATGGTGCTAAAAAGCAAATGCTCAAAACGTTTTCAGGCCACTCTTCATCCCTGCAAGTACACGAGCATCTGTCGCCAAGTGGTCATAGGGACTAGGGGTGAGGTCGCGGTCATATACTTCCCCGACAACGAGGTGAGTGTGGCGCTCAACGGAGACCCAAGCACCAATGTGGCGATCAAGTCCATCTCGGCCATACCCTCGCACGAGTGGTCGATAGATTACCTCAAGCCGAAATCCGTCTGTGTTCGCAAAAGCGGCAAGTGCGTCCAGGGCATATTCCCCGAGGCACCGGAAGCCAAGAGAATTCAACTCGAATCGAGCCCCGAGGTACCCACTCCCGACGGTATCTACGACACCAGCTCCAAGTTTGTTCACCTGAGCGAGCACGATCCCGTTAAGGAGACCCCGGCCAAGGTGCCCCATCCCGGCGACTACGTCTTCGTCGTGCAGTACTACCAGCCCGACTATCCTGAATTCGATCTCGACGTACTCGTGCACAACGGCAAATCCTACGAGGCCAAGGTCCCGATGACCCACTGCCCGAGCAACAGCGGCTGTCGGAGCCTCGTGCGACAGCTCGACGGTGAGGACAACGATTGACGTAAAAATATTTGTATGTACGCAAGAAAATAACAAATACAACGATACCTTCTGTTTTCTTCCCCCTCGCGTCAGGCAACACGCGCTTCCAGCTAGTGGAGAACTTTGCGATAACCCTGAGGGAAAGCGCCAGCCGGGGAGTCTGGGTGGACTACATCCTGGTGATACCGGCGGACCTTTACAGCGACGAGTACCTGAAGAAGCTCGGCTTCGACCAGACGAAGGAGTTCATCGCGAAGTGCGGTACCAATCACTTCCACATAAACAGCAGCGAGACGGCCGGCGGCTTCTGTCGCGACTCCGTCTTCTCCCTGACGACCAACTACAACAACGGGGCGCTGCCCTGCAGCTGCGACATCGAGGGCACGCGGAGCTTCGAGTGCGAGGAGTTTGGCGGCCAGTGTCCCTGCAGGGCCAACATAATCGGCCGGCGCTGCAACATCTGCAAGACCGGGTACTTTGGCTTCCCGAACTGTCGGCCCTGCAACTGCCCGAGCACCGCCATCTGCGAACCCGAGACCGGGGCCTGCATATGCCCCTCCCACGTGACGGGGGCACGCTGCGACCACTGCGAACCCGGGACGTACGGCTACGACCCGATAATCGGCTGCGAGGAGTGCCAGTGCTCGCACCACGGGGTCCTCGACGGCAATCTCCAGTGCGACCTGCTCACGGGCAGGTGCCAGTGCAAGGCGCACGTCGTGGGCCGACAATGCGACAGCTGCGAGCCCGGGTACTATCGGTTCCCGTACTGCGCGCGCTGCGAGTGCGACGAGCGCGGCACCAACGAGGACATTTGCGACCAGGACACGGCCGAGTGCCACTGCAAGCCCAACGTCCAGGGCGGGGCCTGCGACAGCTGCAAGGAGGGCACCTTCAACCTCCAGCCGAGCAACGAGCGGGGCTGCACCGAGTGCTTCTGCTTCGGCAAAACAACGCGATGCCAATCGTCGAGCCTACGCAGGAGCCGGCTGGTCGACATGACCGGCTGGGACGTGGCTCTGGTCAGCGAGCGCAACGAGACGGTGGAGATACTCAAGGCCATACCCCAGGAGATCAACGAGACGCACATTGTCGTCGACATGGACTCGGGCATCGACGAGACGAGCGTCGTGTATCTGTCGGCACCCGCGAGCTACTTGAACAAGAAACTCGTGTCCTACGGCGGCTGGCTGAATTACAACATCCACTACACGACTGGACTGTTTGGCGTGGCAGTTCCCGGCGCCGACGTCATTCTCCAGGGCGCCGACAACTTCCTCATGTACCGGGGAGAGGAGCAGCCTCCCTCCAACACCATATTCCCCGCGTCGGTGGAGCTGGTCGAGGCCAACTTTGAGACCAAACAGGGCCTCAAGGCCACCCGGGAGCAGATCATGGTCGTCCTCGGGGACCTACGGGGTATCTACATTAGGGCCACCTACTGGCAGCCGTCCCTGACCATATCGTGAGTTTTCATTCCCGTTTAAATCATCGCTCATTGATTCATTTATTCGTGTGGTAATGTATCTCCCGTGGCGCATGTAGCTTGTCGCACGTCTTCCTCGACGTGGCCACGGAGCGTCAGAACGGCGACGAGGGGTACGAGGTGGCGAGCAGCGTCGAGCAGTGCCAGTGTCCACCCAACTACAGGGGCCTGTCGTGCGAGGAGTGCGCCAAGGGCTATTACCGGGTGAGCGGGCCTTACGGGGGCTACTGCGTCAAGTGCCAGTGCAACGGTCACGCGGACGCGTGCGACGTCAACACCGGGGTGTGCATTGACTGTAAGAACGGGACGACCGGGGAGCACTGCGAGCTCTGCCAGGAAGGCTACTACGGTAACGCGACGATGGGCACGCCTTCGGATTGCTTGATCTGCGCCTGTCCCCTGCCCATACCGTCCAACAACTTTGCCAACGGCTGCGAGGTCAACGAGGACGGCAGCAGGATAAGCTGCGACTGCAAGCCCGGCTACTACGGGGCGCGGTGCGAGTCTTGCGCCGCGGGCTACTACGGCCGGCCCGACGTACTCGGCGACGTGTGCAAGGTGTGCGAGTGCTCGGGCAACATAAACACCAACGAGATCGACAGCTGCGACTCGGTGACCGGGGAGTGCCTGCGCTGCCTGAACAACACCTACGGGGCCGCGTGCAACCTCTGCGCCCCTGGATTCTTCGGCGACGCGGTCGAGCGCAAGGACTGCAAGAGCTGCTTCTGCGACCAGTGCGGCATGGAGCGCTGCGACAGCCACACCGGCCAGTGCCAGTGCCGGCCCAACGTCATCGGGGACAAGTGCGACAGGTGCGCCCAGGACCACTACGGCTTCGCGAGTTGCCAGGGCTGCCGACAGTGTGGCTGCGCCCTGGCCTCGGAGAGCACCCAGTGCGCCGACGAGGACGGCAGCTGCAAGTGCAAACCCGGGGTCGACGGCAGGACTTGTGACGTGTGCAAACCCGGCTACTGGAACTACGGGCCCGACGGCTGCACGTGTCGGTGTCATATTATGCTTTTGTCTTTATCTCTCCGTTCCTTGTACGGCAAGCATTGTTGAACGTTATGTGGTTATTCGTTTCAGCTTGCGGATGTACGACTGGCTACTCCCGTGGAGCGTCGTGCGACCCGGTGACGGGCCAGTGCGAGTGCCTGCCTGGTGTCTTGGGTGAAAAGTGCGACCACTGCCCCGTGCGCAACGTCCTCGACGAGAGACGAGGCTGCCAGCCCTGCGACAAGTGCACCCACGACCTCCTCGACGTCACCGACGAGCTCGAGAGAACTCTCGATCCAGTTGCCGGCTCCTTCAAGGTACACGAAATTACAATACATACACCACAATAATATACTCACGCATGATGTGTATGTATGATATATTATACATGTGATTTCCGTCAGAACGTCGCCGACAGCTACTTTACGAACCAGCGTCTCGACTTTATCAACGACACCCTGAGCAAGCTGGAGCCCGAGGTGAAGCTGCTCGATCCGCGTCGCATAGATTTCGAGCCCCTGAAGCAAGAAATCGTACGGCTGAGCAACAAGGCGTACGTGCTGAAGCGCCGCGTCGAGTTCCAAGAGGAGGACGGCAGGAACTGCAAGGAGCACGCGGAGAAGAATCTCAAGGACATGAATAACCTCGAGCCGGAGGTGGCGAAGGAGATAAACCTGGCCAACGCCATAATTAACGAGGTCCAGGCGCTGGCGTCCAACACGGAACTCGGCAACGGGCCCAGGATCGACAACGCCTTGAGGCAAGCCCAGTCGATCCTCGATCGGATAAAGCAGGTCTCCTTCCAGGAGGATCGCGACAAAGCGACCGACCAGGCGAACCAAGCCAACATCCTGGTCTCGGAGATGACGAGCTACGGCGAGCCGGTCAAGGCTCTCGTTCAGGAGACCGAGGGGGTCAGCGACAAGGTGCGCAGACTCTCCAACCAGATCGACGACATGTACAATCTCACGCTCCAGGCGGACGAGAGGGCCAATGCCGCCGAGCGGCTCAACTTTGAGAACAAGAGGCTCGTCGACGCCAACAGCCCCGCGTCGATTAGGAGTGCCTTGGATCAAGCCAATGACAACCTAGCCAGGGGCGAGGAGCTCAACAACAAGTCGAACGCCCTCTTCGACGAGGCGCAGTACAATTTCATCAGCTTGAGTGAGTGTGAACGATTTATTTGACGAACCTTCCAACTATTTTTTTTTTTTTTACACGTGGAAAATTAACGATTCCAGAAAACAACGTCAAAGTGGGTACGGAGACGGAGGAGAATCAAAAGCTCAGCGATGCCCTGGCTGACAACGATCAGTTGATATTGAGCGTGGTCGTGGATATTGTCCCCAAAGCTGTGGCTCACTCTCGAGATCTCGAGGCCAAGTCGCTCAGGCTCGAGTCGTTGCTGACCAACACGCGCAATTTGCCGGGTGTTCGAGCCACTTCTGTCTACGAGAACATGGCCAACAACATGAGAGATGCCCTCCAATTTGCCGAGGACGCGTCGAAGGCTGCCACCAATGCGACAAGCATGGTATTATTATCGTCACTACTTTTACTATCGGATCAATGTCGAGTCGAGACAGTATCGGAAAAATTTTTGTAGCTCGATGGACTCAAGGATAGGAGCAAGAGTATCGAAGACCGAAGCAGAGATCTGTTGACCTCGGCTAGTGCCGCAGTAGCCAGAACAGAGCGCGACTTGAAGCCAGAGCTCGAGATGGCGCGTGACAGGGACATGCACGACATTGCCGATCAAAATGACAGGAACACCCAAAAACTCGACCGCATCGAAAAGTAAGTGGCGGAAATTCGTAATGAAAAAATCGAAAACAATGTGGGAAAACTTTTTTTTTTCAATTTACAGGTCCCTGGATTCTCTGACAATTCAGTCCTCGGGACTGATAGCTCAGAAATCTTTGAACGACGCGGACACGGCGGAATACACGATCGGCGACGTGATCAACAACCACATAATCGGCAACGTCGACCGCATACCCGAGGACTTGAGGAGAGCAAAGCAGCTGTCAAAGGACACGTCCGACTCGATTCGCGACGTGCACCAGGCTAACCACCAACTGGACTCCCTGGGCTCGATCCTGCCCGACATCAACGGCAGACTACAGGCCCTGATCGACAAGCAGCAGTCCATCAACGCCACGGGTAACAACCTCTACGACAACATTGAAAAACTGAAGAACAAGATCTCAAGCGCCCGAGACCTGGCGAACCGAATTAGGGTCGGCCTAGTCTTCTTCCCCAACACTACCCTCGAGCTAAAGAACCCGGAGAGCTTGCCTCTGCAGACCACCTCGACGAAAATCTCGTTCTACTTCCGCACGCCCAAACCCAATGGCTTTCTCCTGTACCTCGGCAACGAAAACAGAACAAACATCCCGCGAGCGAAGACCGTGAGTCATAGAGATATTCACTACAGTGGATTAGGGAGTCTTGTTTAATATTATTTAAATTTTTTTCATACAACTTTCAGCACGACTTTATGGCGCTTTCGCTCGAAGGAGGCTATCCCGTTCTGACTCTGGACTTGGGCTCTGGGCCTCAGAGGATAATTAATCCCAAATACGTGTCCGACAATATTTGGCGTCAACTGGTCGTGGACAGGTGAATTCAAGTTTTTTTTTTTTTTTTGTTTTCTATACCGACGAAAATATGAACGTACTTGTGATGGCAAAAATCTCAAATTTTTCTCGGAAAAATTTCAGAACCGGCAGAAACATCAAGCTGGTAATAAACGAAGACGTGGGCGAGGGCAAGGTCCAGGCATACGAGGTGGAGCAGTCGTTGCCCGGTTCGCACTCGATCTTCAACCTCGACCAACAAAAGTCCAAGCTCTTCGTGGGTGGCTTCCCGCCGTCGTTCCAAGTCCAGGATGCCGTGATATCGTCGTCGTTCGAGGGCGAAATGGAGGAGCTGATGATCGGCGAGGTACCCGTGTCCTTCTGGAACTTTGTCGACGGAGAGAACAACGGGAAACCCGCGTACGAGCGCGACGTGCTCATAAACCTCCATCCGACGACCGGCTACCGGTTCGACCGCGACGGCTACGTGATTCTTAGTAAAAAGAACTCCCAGATACCGCCGGACATTAAAAAGTTCCGCGTTCAGTTCAAGTTCAAGACGTGGGTGAACAATGGCCTGATGTACCTCATGGGAGGCAAGAAACACTTCCTCTCGATCGAGATGAGGGACGGGCACGTGCTTTATCAGTTCGACCTGGGAGACGGGCACATGTCTATTGAGACACCCAACACGTAAGCACAGTAAAAAGCAACACGAGTTCATCACGACGACTCGCAAATTGGTACTAATTGGCTTCTTTGAAAAAAAAGGTACAACGACGGCAAGTGGCACAAAATCGACGCGTCGCGACTCGACAGGATCGGCGCGTTGAAGGTGGACGACTTTGGCAGTCAAAATCAGACCCAAGGTGAAGGGAAAAATCTGGTATCCACGGACTACATATACTTCGGTGGCTATCCACCGTCGATACCACATCCCTACAAGGGAGCCACGCAGGTCGGCTTCGAGGGATGCATAGACGAAGTCCAGTTCCAAGAAACCACTGCCGATCTAACGAAGAACATTCAAGCGTCGGGTGTAGTGAGCGGCTGTCCCGTCAAGGTCGGTTTTCATCTTATTTTTCTCAAATCAGAAATCAAAACGATCCTTACTCTCGATCGGCAACAACATTTTTGCAGTTTGCCAGTCTGGTATCCTTCGACGGCGTGCATCCAGGCTACGTGAGATGGGACCAGGTCTCGGTGCCCCACTCACTGCAGATAAATCTCAAGTTTAAGACTCAACTGAACAACGGTATAATCTATCACCTGGTGAACGGCGACGGTACGCCGATGAGTACCCTGGCACTGGTAAACGGCCAGCTAGAGCTCGACAGTCAGGGTGCGCGACTCGAGACGAGCACGCGGGACATAAGATTCGACGACAACGAGTGGCACGTCATCACTGCCACGCACAACGACTCCTCTCTCAGGCTCGACATCGACGACACCGAGGAGGAGAGCATCGACTCCGCACCCTACCCCCAGCCGATTAACGACGGCTCCCTGTACATCGGCAACGTTCCCGACAGCGCTCGAAACGGCCTGAACTTTGAGCCGTTCGTCGGGTGCGTTGGAGACGCGACCCTCAACGGAATCATCATAAACTTCGCTAATTCGACCGAAAAACCCTACGCTCATCTTGCCCAGTGTCCCAACAAGCAAGATCAAGGTAAGCCTTAACGATGTGCGGTATTAATCTGTCGGGCGCGTTTTAAGCGATTTCTAATTTTATTTTATTATTATTTTTTCTTTTTCCCAGTTTTTCCGGGCCGTGAGCCACCATTAGGGACGTACCCGCCCCTTCCAGCACCGTCGTCCTACGACGAGTCCACGGCGAGTGAGATTTTTTCTTTTTACATCATTTAAACTTAATTAAATTTTGTGACAAAAGTATTTCTTGCAAATGATGACTTTTCAAGACGTTGTAGATCTCAGCCAAGGAGGAGACACAGACTACTCGGGACCAGGTGCGATCGAGGGTCAGCTGCCGATCTACGATGATACGTCCGCGGCATCGACCGAGTCACCGACTACCACCTCAACCACCACATCGACTACGCCCTGGCCAACTTCGTCCAAGGAACCCGAGACCATCGATGGCTGCCGTCTGCCCTACTTCCCTGCCACCGATCCTGACCAATACAGCGAAAACGCTTGGAGATTCGGTACGATTTGTTTATTTCACTTTTTTCTACCCATGGCGACGTTGGAAATGAATTTTCTAAATAATTTGTCATTCAATTGTATGAAACAGGCACGCAAAAGAACAGCCGATTCGAATACAACACGCTCAACGGGCGTTACAAGGACGAGTATGATTTCCAGATCGATATAAAGACGTTAGCCAGCGAAGGCATTATTTTCTACAGTACCGATTTTACCGGAAGCGATTTGATCGCCTTGTTTATAAAGGACAGTTTGGTAAGCTAGAAAAGGCATTTTAACGAAAAACAAACGAAATTACCTTTCACAGTAGAATTATTCGTTTACAATTCTTTGGTCTCTGGACTCTCTCAGGTTCACTATGCGTTCGACTGCGGCACGGGTCCCGCTTTGCTTCGTAGCGAGAAGAAAATCAACGACCACCAATGGCACACGGTTTACTTCAAGCGAATCGGCTCCCAGGGCGAACTTGTGGTCGACGACGAGCCGGCGATCCATGAAAAGTCTGAGGGCGAGGGCGAGACCATCAACGTGCAACCGCCCTTCTTCGTTGGTAGCGTCGATCCAATCATATCTAACAGCGTTATCGAGAGAATCGTGAGTTCATCGGAGCTTAATATTCCAAAAGGATTGTTTTACCTGAAAAGTTTAACATTTTTTTTTTTTTTAATTTTCACTCGATAGGATACAAATAAGACGTTTAGCGGATGTATTCGTAACTTTATGCTGAATGGACAGCACATAAAGGAACCAGTCAAACAGAATGGCGTTGTTCCTTGCTCCAAGAGAGTGGAGCCTGGTATGTTCTTCTATCCAGGAAACGGCAGCAATTATTTCGTGGCGGGTGAGTATTTTTCTTGTTTCAAATCGTTACGGGTTATTCGTCAAACATATCTATACTGAAGGAGAAAAAATTTATTTCCAGAAGACCACTTTAATGTTGGAAAACAAATGGATATCCAAATGGATATCAAGCCGAGATCGTCGTCAGGACTTTTACTCTCGATCCATGGAAAGAGCGATTACGTCGTGTTAGAAATGGTCAACGGCTCGGTTAAGTTTTTGGTGAAAGCCAACAGAGGACAGATTGAAACTACGTTCGACGCAGTGAGCCCCAACTATCTCTGTGACGGCAATTGGCACAACATTCGAGGTAAGATTACATAAGCCTTTAAAACCAACTTGACGAGCCATTTTGTAAATTTTGCGATTGAATTTTGTGCAATTTTTTTTTCAAGCTGTAAGACAAAAGAACGCTGTCGTCTTATCCGTGGACCACAAAGCTGCTTCCCCAGGAATCGGCAATAAAAATATAGGAAGCGTAATCACAAAAACTAATTCAATTTACATTGGTGGGCATCCACACTTGGAATCTGGAAAAAATTTGAAAGGTAGCGTTTCGAAAACTCAGTACGTTGGATGCATCAATAACATCGTCATTAGAGATCGCGCGTATCCGTTAGATCCCGCAAAAACTCATGGGCAAGTAGTTGCGGATGTGTGTCCAACTATTTAAAAAATCTACAGAAAAAACTCTTTTGTAAATTAAAATTTATATTTTTACAACTTTCATTGTATTGTCCAAAGAAACTCTTAGATAACAGTTATGTAATACCAAAGTGGTAAGAAAATATTTATAAATAAAAAAAATTAAAAATACCTCAAAGGTTTTCCTTCCTTAACAATTAAAAATGGCACAAAATAAGTTAACAATTAATCTCAGACATAACAAAAAATACCACTTATTCAATTTTCTTAAGCTTTCTCTTGTAGTACATAGCTGAAAACATTATTGAAGAACTCAAGGTGGTTGAAACAATAAAATTTCCCAGGATTAATATATCAGCAGAGTCCATGTAGACTGTGAATATTCTTGCTGCAAAATCAGTCATTTGTAAATAATACAAAATTACTTCACTATAAATGAGTTAAGAAATAAACCCACTGAGATTGGTAAATGCTGATATGAACCACGTCATTGGTGAGACTGCATCTGCATTTTTTGCTCTAAGAATAGTCAACAATTGAGCTACTTTACTAGATGCAGATACTGGTGTACAGAATGGCTGAAATAATGAAAAATTACAGGCAATCAAAAAATGTGTATAAAATTTGACCTTTAATGAAATTTTAATGACTCACCACTAAAAGAGTTAAAAATGTCTTTGGTATAATTTGTGTCAAGAAGCCTGCACAAACCAAAACGTAAAGTGTCACAACAGAGAGTATTTGATTGTTTATCAAATTCAGGTACTTTAGCACTAAATATATTAAAAAATACTCTTGTATAAGAATAATTGGATATTCCATGTAAGACAACAAAGAGTAATTATTTGTATAATTATAACATGTCACAATACTATAACTGCAATAAAAATTGAATGTTAGGTGGTTACATTTTTCATCATTTCTTTCACAAAAGTACATACCTTGTCAACTCTAGAGACAGACTCAAAAGAGATATTCCCACTGCGGACTTAGTGTTGAGTAATCTCTTTATTTGAGGAACTTTTAATACTAGGCACATGCCAATAGTAATGAGGCTTAGTCCATCAGACAGATAGTGTAAAAAATACTTCCACGACATATTTTTCGTGGAATGAGTACAATGATTCTCCTATAACAAATCTCAAAAACTATATGGTTGACAGCCAGCCAATCAAAAAATTATACAAATACACCAATTGACATACTGAAAAATCAATAAGAATTCAATTTTGACCTTCTTATGAACTAGTCGTAAATTACCAATCTCTTGGAAAAATTTGTTTACCTATATGTACAGTGCAAAAGTCACGTAAACATTTTAAGCGGTGCTTGTAAGACCGTGAACTTCCAAAAAGTAATTAAATACCTATAATCTCAGTGACAGCAGTAGCAGGGCTTCTTAAACTTCAGCATGTTTGACTGTTTGACATATATATTTTCTTAACTGTAGATCTAAATGTGTGCCCTGCATCATCAACTTGAGAATTGTGTTAGTAGAAATTTAACTTATTCTTTAAAATGTCCTTCAACACAACAGATACATAATCATCTCTCTCTTTCATCATCTGTGAATCTGCACTGCTTTTTATTTACACTATCGAGCAGACGCTCGTGCACAAACTAAAATACTATGTCTTGTCTGCTAGTTTTTAACTTTTTGAGCTAATGAGTATATATATATGACTTGTATGTATACACTTTTTACATTTTGTGCACTTGTCAAAATAAAGAATAGGTACTGTAAATTGGTGTCAAAATGTTCATATGCATTATTAGCCCTGTACAAAGTGTTCCAAGACTTATTAAAATTTGAAGTGTGCTTAGCAAAAGACGTCGTTTCGGAACACTGCATCCCCACTTTTTCTTCCACACAGCTGACTCTTGCGGGCCATGTGGCAGCTAAACTACCTGAATATTGACTGTTTTTTACTAATAAATAACATACGTACTAATTTTTTTTTTGTTAGTGAACATAAGTGGAATTGTGAAGTGATTTGTTAAATAATAATGGCGGTAAGTCGTCGGCGAGAATATTTAAAATTTCACTACACATATGTAATGAGAACCTGTTGACTTTTAAATTGCTGATTCAAATTAAAAGGAAAAAAAAAGTCCTTACTAAAATATCGAGCTGAAAATTTAATTTTATGAATGCTAAAATATTAGATATCATTATTTCTAACCTGTACATGGATTGTATAAATTAAAAAAAAAAATTGCTGTGTAATGGAATTTTAAATGAAAGCATCTTTTTTGATTATTGTATTAAAGGACACTATTTTACTTTGGAGGAAATAATATGTCACTACTGTGTAAGTAATTGTAAATTAGTATTTTGTACAATAATTGCAGCCCCCTACAAAAAGCAGTAAACAAGCTACTAGAGGAGCAAAACAGATTGTCGAGGAAAATGCATCGACACTCCAATTTTACAGATATATGATTTTTGGAGCATTTGTGACATATCTTGTGATCATGAGTATTTTATTTGAATTCACAACGAAAACTACAGTAAGTTTTTAAGTACATTAACTTTCTCTTTAATTTGAATTTTCTTAAATGTATTTACATTTTACAGTTGTTGACGTCACTTGCTGGTATGGTTTTTACTGCAAGTTATCAATTCATGTCATACATGGCAAGAGCAAAGTACATGGAATCTGGACAACTATTAGACTCTGGGGTTGACTTAAATATGGAAGGAGGAATAGCAGAGTATGTTTTTAGTCATTTCAAACGATTTAAACTATGCAGAAACTGTATCGTTATTTATAACATTCTAGACACGTGAAGGATTTGATCATCCTCACATCTGGAGTACTGGTTCTCTCGCTGATCTCAAATTATTTCTGGTTTCTGTGGCTATTGGTAATTATAATATAATTATGATGTTATAAATTTATTCATAGACCAAGTTATGAGCGCTTATCTTTTGCAAATATGTACAGGCACCGTTGAGAGCATTGTGGATGCTATGGGTGAACATCATATCTCCATGGATATTCGCTGAACCACCCGCGCCCACGGAAAAAGATGAAAAGAAGCAAAGAAAACTTGAGAGAAAAATGGCGAGACCGATGTACAAAAGTCATTAAACTTGAATGTTGCCTAATGGAATTTATAGCAAAGTGGTTTTTAAACGAATGGTTAGTCAGAAACTTTTTTTACTTGACTACTATTTAAATGCAAAGCTGCAATACTTAATTAAAGACTGTTTAAATAATTATACATTTCCAATACAAAATCTACTTTCTTTTTAAGTATGGTATTCACTGTCCCATTTTCCGTAATCATATTCTTTCTTTCTCATGTCGATTAGTTAAAACGTGTTAACAAGTGTATAGTTGCAATTAATCACAATTCTCCCATTATCGTAATTACACCTGGTTGAAGAAAGAAAAAACAGAATCATCCATAACTGAATTATTTTCATATGCACCACTTTCTCGATAAATACCGAGAAGAGTAAAAAAAAGTGCAAATAGTTCGCGCTATTAGCAATAATGGCCCTACAACAGCATGAAAAATATTTTAAGTAGACAACTCTGGCCGCGGTTTATTACGCGCAAAGTTCCGATAAATTCATTCATTGCACTCTCACGCACATTTGCGCTAACATTTATGAGCGAGAGAATGTATATATAGTTAACAAACAACTTTTTCCACGCGTGCGTTTCATGTACCTACGTAAGTACAGAGAACGAACGACCGCCCGGTTGGCTGATGGCGGGTAACGGTAATATACGTACTTATACGTTAAAAGGGCTCATCGTTTTATACATTATACAGTTATTTACCATAACAAACTTTATGTAGCACTTCAATCTTTTGAAATGGTAATTATTCGTTTTTTGCACGACAAGCGCGACCTTTTTTTCTTGCTCCCTCAGATTAGTGCTTTTAAGTCTTTATTATGTAACTCGGACGCGAACATTGGATTCAACTGTTGAATAATCAATTACCACCCGGTTCGCAATACAATCATTGTCTTTTATCTTCCTAAACATCACTTACGTAATTACTGTAAAAAAAGGGGTCGGGTATAGATAAAAAAAAAAACGCAAAATGTGCGAGTAAAAAAATTAATCACACATTCGACGTTGAGGAATGTGCAGTTGAACAGCTTACGCAAGATGATGTGAAAACATCGATTTTTCATGACTCGTTCTTTGTGAACTTTGAAAGCCGATCGAGAGTTTTGACCGAAAACGAAGCTCTGAGAACTAGCACTTTTGTGAAATCGCCTCTTATCGACGACTGTGCCGCGTGAGTTTGCTTATATATACGCTGGCGATGGAACTCGCAAAATAAAAAATAAATAAACAAACAGAGCAAGCAAAACCGAAGATAAAAACAACGCGCGAAGAAGAAAAAAAAAAAAAAAAAAAAAAAAAAAGGAGCAGCGCATGTCGTAGAGAGACAGCTCATCTGAATGAAACGGTACGAGAGATACGGCGGAGGAGGAGGAGGAATCAAAATGAGAGGAGAAGTTGTGTGTATTACGTATGTACGAAAGGTATAAGAGTGGGGCATTGGTTACATTTATAATGTGTATATATTGTGCTGGACATCCCCGCAGAGCGTGCGCGTGTGTAATGTAATGTAATGCAATGTAATGCAAAGTAACGTATTAGGTGCACCTATATATAATATACTCGGTACGCTGCAGTGTGCAGTATGAGCAACAAAACAAATACAGAAGAGGTGGAAAGAGGGAGAGAGAGAGGGGCAAATATGAAAACAAGCACACGCGTTGCGTCGTAATACGCGCATGTATAACATACATAGCTATACACGCGTATATATATATAAGCGCTGTATTATAATATTGTACTCTCCTCTTTCTTCTTTCGCAGCTGTATATGCTTTCGAATGTATGTATATTTTGCATATATAGAAGGAAAAAAGAGAGACGACCGTCGCACATGAAAGCCAAGGAAGGAGGATGGAGGAGGTGTGTGGAGCAAGCATCAAGTAAAGCATACAAAATATATATTATACACATGCATGTACATGGCGGGAGGGGGGGGGGCGCGGAGAACAAGCAGACAGAATATATAAAGAGTGAGAGAGCAAACGGCAAAAGGGGGCCCTCGCACGTTATTGCGTATACGCGCGCGCGCAGTTGCATGGCCAAAGGTAGCCTCGGCGGCTGCACATACTTTAGTAACATAATAAAAAAAAAAAGAAGAAAAAAAGAAAGAAAAAAAACCCATTTGCCGAGAGTTTTCGATCGTGTGGTGCAGTTGTATGATAGTATAACACGCACAGTCTTTTTGCAAAGTGCGCGAATGCGCTTGACGTTGCTGTTGTTGTTGTTGTTTTGACAGTTTGTCGTCTGTTTGTTGTTGTTGTTGTTGTTGTGTTTTGGTCCAATCATCGTATTACATCACGATTGGCCAAAAATATAATAATATTTCAATATCGGCATGTCGTCGACGTCGACGGGGGGAGAGCACTTCTCCCTCGTGTGGAATACGTTCCCGCGCAACCTGTCCGCCGGGCTCTACAGCCTACTGACAAACGAGCACTTGGTCGACGTGACTCTTGCAGCGGAGGGCCAGATCCTCAGGGCTCACAAAATCGTCCTCTCGGTCTGCTCCACATACTTCCGTGATCTTTTCAAGGTACATACATACCCCTGTTTTTTTCATTCCGTTCACGCATCCCCCCCCCCTCCCCCTAAACGTATACTATACGTATATTTGCAACCCTCTATATATACACGCTTATAGCTATATACTTAATAATGAGTATTGTATACCTGGCACTGTAAATATTATACGTGTGTAAGTACAGGCCTCTTTGGACGCGAACGACGTGCGGGATTATTTTTGGAGCAACGCGCGCCCGCGCAGACACTTTGTTTTTGTTATGCGAACCAGCTCCCCTCGCACCCCCTCCCTCCTCCTCCTCGCTGCAGAGCCCCTTCCTCTTCTCTCGCGTCCTCTGTCCCTCTCGCGCGCCCGGGAATCATATACGTGCGTGCGTGCATAATGTGCGCTCTCTCCTTTTTTCTTTTCGCTGGCTCCTTTTAATAATATGATGTACTCTGATTTTTTACGCTTCGCCAAATGCGTTCTTTTACCTGTATACGTGTGAAAAACATAGCTCAAAAACCCCCTTGATGTAAAAAAAAATAAAAAAAATAAAAAAACTGACGACACGAGCATCATACACCAAAGAGAAACACAAGGATAAACCCCTTGTACATCAGGTACGCGATTCGTAGCTCATGAATCTTGAAGCTTTTTAAACATGATGCGCAAAAATGATGGCGCAACAATTACGATCCGATAAAATGCGTCTCGCGATCTTGTTCTTTTGTACAAACGCGAACTAGGCGCGATAACGTCTCATCGACATGTTAGTGCACACATGTATATTATGTACACGTACCTATATATATACCAACATTATACACGCGCGAACATATACGCACAAAAGAGGAGGAGTATTTTATAAGTAAGTATATACCGTGGATCAAGACGTGCGCGCGGGGCGATGGTATATATATATATATATACATATAGGAGAGGGACAACACCGCGGCTTTCGCGAAAAACGCGCGATGTCAGCACTCATATACATCAGCTGTATATACTTATAAATTGTAGCTACTTTTTTTTGTTCTCTTTTTCATACGCACCTTGTGGATCATTCATTATTAATCTTGTACTCGCGCTTTGTACAAACTATAACAGAGGCAACACGCGTGTGCAAAGCATACATAATATGATTTCATACGTATAGACTTATCGCGTAAACAAAGTGTAAAAAAATGGAGAGCGTTCGTGCGCCAATGGTATATATTACCTATAGTAAGCAAGCAAAGTAGTGGCAAGCGTTACAAAACATATCTTTTCGCATATGTATACATACACATATACGCGGGTGTGTGTGTGTGTGTATATATATACACTAGCTAATGTTATATGTATATACACACATGTGACGCTATAGCGCAATAACGCGTAAGGCTTGTTTGCCCGCTTATTTACACTATATATACTCGCGCATATTTACGCTTAGCACGGAACAGCCACCGTTTTATACTTGATTATGAGTCATTTTGCGTTTTAGGTGTAGATATCCGCGCGGTAACGTCAGTAGTAGATTATTTTACATCAGCCAAATTATTAAACCCATCGTTCCGTACGTCTTATATATTATATACATACACCTGCGGATATCAATGATATACACCTATATGATGTTATGTGCAACACAACGGGGAAAACAAAGTTTTGTCGCGCTATTTAAGATCGTAGTCATGATCAACGAGGCTCGCTAGCGCTTATAATATACTAATTGACATTCGCGCGCGCGTGCGATTTTTTTTTTTTTTTTTTTTTCTTCCTCTACATTATACTTGCTCTCGTGCTCATTTGCCTTTGCTGGTTACATATAGGTTTCGTATAAGCATATAGCCTTCTCTCCCGATAGCTTTATGTATATATACACGCGCGATTTCTACACGATGTGTGTATGTGCGCGCGTAAATGCGCGTTTTGCAGGGTAACACGTGCGAGCATCCGATCGTCATCCTCAAGGATATCAACTATCGGGACCTGTCCGCGATGCTGCACTTTATGTATCAAGGCGAAGTCAACATCAAGCAGGAAGACATTGACAGCTTTTTAAAGGTCGCGGAGATTCTCAAAATCAAGGGCCTCACCAGGACTAACGACGACGACGTGAGTAAATATGCATACATTATAATATCTTTTTTGTTTTTTTTCTCTCTCTCTCTCTCTAATCAATTCGCGATCTGATAACGATGAAATCGCGCCATGAGGACAGTGGTGCATCAGAGTGTGGGTACTAGATTCTGATTCACGCGCTTGGAGCTATTCCAGGTCAGCGCGGCTAGGATGATTCTCTTTGTTTTTTCCCCTTTACATGTTAAAAGTAGGTATATTTATACGGACACCACTGTACAATTGCGCAAGAGTTAGCCGGGTTTTTGAGAAGTGTTAACGTAGCACACACACGGCCTACTTATACTTATATTAGCCGTTTAGAGTCGGCTCTCGTACGCGAATGGATTAATATTTATAGCTATTGTAATTTTAAACGTGTTGCGCTTGCTGTATAGATGTATCTTCTCATTTGGAAAATAGATTTCTGGCGTTTAAGCGCTTTAACATGTGTACAAGCTGCTGGCGGTCGTCAATGTAAACCTTTATAAAAAAATAAACAAGGAATTTACATCAATGAAATTTAATATCATTACGTTGGATAGCGTCAAATCACGGAAACTAACGGGTTGCGCAAAGCTTACGTCGTTGGTGGCTATACATTGCATAAAAGCTCTTATTGCGTATTCATTTATATATATAACTATATATATAATATTCCCATAACATATATATGAATATACAATATGTATATATAAATATACTACAATCGTGGTCTGCTTATCGTCTGTAGGTATGTGTACATGCGTACTTACCGCTCGTTGGTACATGGTAGTTTCTCTTCAAAGATAACTAAGCAGCATATTTTAAAATGTTTATACTGCTCATTGAAATTCGATTAATATTTTATTTTACATGTATTCGTTAATTAATATTTTACACTGCACACATTATGTGTTAATTGGAATATAAATGACGGTCGATTGTTTTGATGTGCTTAACTACAGTCGGTAGGGCAGGAATTGTCGTTTCACGCCGTACAAATTGTTAATAATAATATAAGCCACATTTGTTGATATTATCAAGGCTGAAATAGTTTAAAAAAGCAATTTATAAGAGAGAAATCGTTCAATTTTCAGGACGAAGCGGACAAAGAATTGGTCGACGCTCTGCCACTGGTACATCACGATCGCCCAAATGCAGGCAACGTTTCAGCACCAGGTCGATCGGCATCGACGCCCGAGTCATTTAGCGAGCCAGCCAAGAACTGGAACTCTTCCTGTCACTGCAGAAACCGAACACCAAAGGAGGAAGGATGTAGCAAGACATTCCGCGAATCGGTCGATCCATTATCATCCGACAGTCATTTGATACACACCGAAAGTGGTAGAGAAATGTTAAATCTCAATGTGGACGATGAACCGCTCGATTGCTCCGCGAGCATCGAAGACAAGCCTCACAAGGCTTCGATGGAATATCCAGAGTACAAGCCAGATTTAGGCCTCATCGGTTCTGAAATCCGACATTTGACTCCGGAAGTCGAGTGCATTCAGAGGCCGATGTCAGCTGTGATGCCGCACATAGAACAGGAAAACGTAGACGCCATGCTCAATACGCAAATGATGGGTTACAGCAACCCGCACTGCCAGAACGATCCAGTTGGTAAGACATTGGCTAATGAAAAAATATAAAACTAAAATGAAATATATACTTTTCTTCTGCCAACTTTAACTCGAGGATTTTTCAAATAAAGTGCACCAAACAATCGGAGTTAGATTCATACAATATTTTCATCTTTATTATTTACAAGTTCAAAAATGTATACACCTACGCTTAAGTAATAACCGTATACTCGATTGATTTCTCACAGGGGTGAACTTTTTTTTTTTTTTTTTTTTTTTTTTTCTTTTGTTCCATTATTTTTACACAGGTTTTCACGACACCGGGACAACTTGCCCGAGCGACTACCTTCCCGACCCGTCGACGAGCTGCAGCAGCAACACCACGAGCAAGGGTCGCCGGACCGTGAAGGGTCTGCCGGGCAGCAGTCTTTCCCTCGAAACGACTCTGCGAGTCATATCCGAGCTGGGCCCCACAATCCGTATGGAGCGCGGAAAAGTGATACGCATGTACTCGTGTCCCTGGTGTCTGCGCCACTTTACGCGTAAGGAAAACCTCAAGCTCCACGTACGCTACATACACGGGCCGCTCGAGAGCCTCACGTGCAAGCTCTGTGGCAACAAATACAAAAACAGTAACAGTCTTCGCGTTCACTCGTACCTCTACCACAACGCTCAGAGAAATAACAAGTCGTCGTCGTCGACGACCGGCAATAAACCCTCAATTGTTGGCGGAAATGCCTGATCGCGACTTATTGCTCTATGAAATTCTATTTCTTCGATCTTCCCGTCTTATTTATATTATTACTCTATTTTTTTCTTTTTTTCTTTGCCTAAGTCGTTGTTATTATTGTTATTTTTTTATTTTAATTTTTTTTTGTTTCGTTATTCGGCTTTTACGCAGCATAAAATACGCATGATATTACGCTTCGTATGCAACGAAAGAGAAAATTCTATGTCTGAAAAGTCGAAAGTATAAGGGGAGCGCTAACTAGATTCGTTTTATATACGCTTTGTTGTTGATGAAATCGTCGAGCCTACGAGAGCCTTTTTAAATATAATGTAAGAGAAACTCGACGGCTTTGAGGGCACGCGCACAAAGGATGCGACAATAATTTTCAAGTTGCGTGCATCCCGGCGGAAAAAATGTAAGGAAACGCGTGAGGCTAAAGAGACATGGCTATATGTGTGTAAGGGAACACCACACGTGTATGTGTGCATGTGCCGTAGAAAAGGAGGACTGAGAGGAGAAGGAAGAGAAAAAACGGAGAATGAGGTGAACGGAAGTAGCCGATGTTTAAAATGCAGCGTAGAAAGAAGATCGGACGGACACGAGGCGTAACGTCGAATTACCGAGCCACCTGTTCCTTCCCCGGAACAACTTTATTCTCGCGTAATTTGAATGTCGGACCCATTATTTTCGATCGCTCGCACAAGCTCGATGCGGCCAGTCCGAGTGTACCTAATTTCGTTAAATTTTGCCTTTGGCAAAGAGCAAAGGTTAACTTTACATCCCTCGTGACGTTATTAATCATTATAATATATATATGCATATGCTACACGTAATTTTACCTATTGACATAATAATTTATTGGATTGTCATTGTTTTCTCGTGCTAACGTGGTCTTACTATAATACGTTTATTTACAAAATTGATAAATATGCCGTTCAAACAATACCATTTAAATAATCATTCATAAATGTAACGACGATATTAACCCTTTCTTGCATTGCGCAGAATAAACGACGGTCGATTTTGTCCACATTCACAGTCTAGTCGATTTCGTATTACTCTTAGTAACTTATTTACAAATAGATAAAAACTTTTTTTTTTATATATATATATTTATACCGATGTATAAAACATTGTAATTTTAAACGTGTTGCGCTTGCTGTATAGATGTATCTTCTCATTTGGAAAATAGATTTCTGGCGTTTAGGAAGGAGGATGGAGGAGGTGTGTGGAGCAAGCATCAAGTAAAGCATACAAAATATATATTATACACATGCATGTACATGGCGGGAGGGGGGGGGGCGCGGAGAACAAGCAGACAGAATATATAAAGAGTGAGAGAGCAAACGGCAAAAGGGGGCCCTCGCACGTTATTGCGTATACGCGCGCGCGCAGTTGCATGGCCAAAGGTAGCCTCGGCGGCTGCACATACTTTAGTAACATAATAAAAAAAAAAAGAAGAAAAAAAGAAAGAAAAAAAACCCATTTGCCGAGAGTTTTCGATCGTGTGGTGCAGTTGTATGATAGTATAACACGCACAGTCTTTTTGCAAAGTGCGCGAATGCGCTTGACGTTGCTGTTGTTGTTGTTGTTTTGACAGTTTGTCGTCTGTTTGTTGTTGTTGTTGTTGTTGTGTTTTGGTCCAATCATCGTATTACATCACGATTGGCCAAAAATATAATAATATTTCAATATCGGCATGTCGTCGACGTCGACGGGGGGAGAGCACTTCTCCCTCGTGTGGAATACGTTCCCGCGCAACCTGTCCGCCGGGCTCTACAGCCTACTGACAAACGAGCACTTGGTCGACGTGACTCTTGCAGCGGAGGGCCAGATCCTCAGGGCTCACAAAATCGTCCTCTCGGTCTGCTCCACATACTTCCGTGATCTTTTCAAGGTACATACATACCCCTGTTTTTTTCATTCCGTTCACGCATCCCCCCCCCCTCCCCCTAAACGTATACTATACGTATATTTGCAACCCTCTATATATACACGCTTATAGCTATATACTTAATAATGAGTATTGTATACCTGGCACTGTAAATATTATACGTGTGTAAGTACAGGCCTCTTTGGACGCGAACGACGTGCGGGATTATTTTTGGAGCAACGCGCGCCCGCGCAGACACTTTGTTTTTGTTATGCGAACCAGCTCCCCTCGCACCCCCTCCCTCCTCCTCCTCGCTGCAGAGCCCCTTCCTCTTCTCTCGCGTCCTCTGTCCCTCTCGCGCGCCCGGGAATCATATACGTGCGTGCGTGCATAATGTGCGCTCTCTCCTTTTTTCTTTTCGCTGGCTCCTTTTAATAATATGATGTACTCTGATTTTTTACGCTTCGCCAAATGCGTTCTTTTACCTGTATACGTGTGAAAAACATAGCTCAAAAACCCCCTTGATGTAAAAAAAAATAAAAAAAATAAAAAAACTGACGACACGAGCATCATACACCAAAGAGAAACACAAGGATAAACCCCTTGTACATCAGGTACGCGATTCGTAGCTCATGAATCTTGAAGCTTTTTAAACATGATGCGCAAAAATGATGGCGCAACAATTACGATCCGATAAAATGCGTCTCGCGATCTTGTTCTTTTGTACAAACGCGAACTAGGCGCGATAACGTCTCATCGACATGTTAGTGCACACATGTATATTATGTACACGTACCTATATATATACCAACATTATACACGCGCGAACATATACGCACAAAAGAGGAGGAGTATTTTATAAGTAAGTATATACCGTGGATCAAGACGTGCGCGCGGGGCGATGGTATATATATATATATATACATATAGGAGAGGGACAACACCGCGGCTTTCGCGAAAAACGCGCGATGTCAGCACTCATATACATCAGCTGTATATACTTATAAATTGTAGCTACTTTTTTTTGTTCTCTTTTTCATACGCACCTTGTGGATCATTCATTATTAATCTTGTACTCGCGCTTTGTACAAACTATAACAGAGGCAACACGCGTGTGCAAAGCATACATAATATGATTTCATACGTATAGACTTATCGCGTAAACAAAGTGTAAAAAAATGGAGAGCGTTCGTGCGCCAATGGTATATATTACCTATAGTAAGCAAGCAAAGTAGTGGCAAGCGTTACAAAACATATCTTTTCGCATATGTATNGAAAAAAAAAACAAAAAAAAACAAATGACCAATGAACGTGAGATATCTACTGTAATGTGCAATAAAACAAACGAAATGGTTTATGTATTAATTTTTGTATAGCACTTGAATAAAAAATAATTTGTTATCCAATACAAAGTATTCAATTTTACTTGAAAAATATAATTTTTTTTTTTACTGAAATTTTTCTCTCGTATTTATTTTTTATTTTATTTTTTTATTTTAAGCCGAGTAGTAACCTGCTGAAAAAACTTTTTGAAATTCTAATGTGCATCCTTTCCTTCTTCAGTTGCATAATCACGTTTGTCTGAACCTACATAAAGATTTCCTGTTCTAAAAAAATGTCTCTCGAAATAAACGTGCCCGCGTAAATAAGTAAGTTGTTTTAATTTTGCACGATAAAATTTTGCGCGCAAAGGTAAAACGAATGAATGTTCTTTTCGAAATTCGATCGAGAAACGTGAGAATTTGTGTTTTTGCTTAAAAATTTTGAAGTGAAAGAACATTTCTAATTTAATGAAATTCAACGTACATTTGCAAATGATTGTTTTGGCGCAATAGATCCATTCTAAAGTTCATCGGAGCCAATCATCATCATAGGAAGTATTTGGTATCGACAACTGAAAACAAGCGTTTTTCATATATATTTCTTTTTAAAATTTTTTTTCCAAATGGCCGAGACATTTTCTGTTTTACCATTAAATTGATTTCGTGTGGAAAAAAAAAAAAAATAAGAAAAAAAAAACTGTGACGCTGATAGCACTACTTCAACACGTTTGACATCCATCGGAAAAAATGAGTTTTGCGAAAAACCTCGATCATGCAGCTTGAATTTGCGTTTATCAATTTATAACCAAGAGTTAGAGAGCGGAAGCACAGATTGTGAATCATGAATGGCGAAAGATTTAAAGCACTACCCTCTACGTGTACAGGTATACACCGAAATAGCTCGTGGCAAATAATTCGTGTACTATTGATTTTTCGATTGGCCGATCTATTTGAGGCTCCTGCAAAGAAGTGACCGAGCGAAATGACATCATTATTTATTTAGAGTCACATCCGGCACGAACCCGTGAGCGTCACTTGAACGACAATTCAATATTCAGCATCAGTTTTCGACGAAATAAGACACAAGATATTATTAATGCAATATTTTTCCCGGAAAAAGGTACATATATATATATACACATGCATATCAAAAGTAGGAGGGGAATGAGGGTGATAGGAAATAGAAACAATATATATACATACATATAGATATAGATTTTCTACATAGTATATTTCAAGTATAACATCATAGCCTGGGCATCGAGTTGATAATGTTACGAAAGAGAAAATCCAATCAATTCTACTTGACGTGGCATTTCAAAAGAAAAAATCCTCGCTCGAAAATCCAATCAATTCCAGTCGATGTAGCTCCAAGAGCGAGCGAAAAATTCCTGCGCGACAATGTATATACATGTATATACGTATACACACAAGTGTAACGAAACAGAGAGACAGAAGAGACGCAGGCAGATCGAGAGGGACCCTTTGAAACCTTACACGCGCACTCCCACATCATGCATACATATACATTCAAGGCAGGTATGAACATACATATAAATATGTATACATGTAGAAAAGCACATCAGAGCGTAATTCGGAAATATTACTTTTGCCATATATGTATAAAGAGAGAGCAGCCGAGAGAATAAGAAGAGGCGGAAAATAAAGCGATAAAAGCCTGAGACATGTTACATTGCACTAGATGTAGTATGGCAGTATATACATTATACTATACGAAAGGAAACCCAAGAGCGCGTATGGGAAGTATATTTAATATATTGTGGTGGTTGGATAAAGGTAACTCACCTCTGGCTGTGCCTGGTGCAGAGGGTGTCCTGGTGTTGGCGGTGGAGGCCAACGGCGTCGAGCTCGTGGTAATGCTTGTCATCGGAGCCGCTGGCGTAGCTCGCCGCCTGGGAATCAAGCTCCGCGTACAGCGCCTCGTCCGTCTGCATGTGCGTGTAGTGGTTCTGGAAGAAAAATCGTTGCCAACATTTTTCTTTAATTCCAAGTTAATATTACACTTCTGTACTATTCTAAATCAAACTTCCGATGTACCTACTCTGGATAAAGTCATTTCACGATTCAGAATAGTAACACAGGTGCATTCGTTGTTATTATATTATACCAAGGTGGATCAGTACCAAATTAAAAGTACTCAAAATTAGAAAAAGCATTGATGAAAAATCGCGATACAATACATTTTTGCGAAAAAAAATGATATAGGTCACGCAGAAAAAAATTTGAATATTCGACACCACAACGTCGGTATACAGTTACAGCTTCCTAGTGGACCGAAGGAGCAGAGACAGCGACGGAGGACTTTGTGGTACCTCGAACTCAAAAAGATCGGCAAGGGTATCGCGCGCAAACACCCATACCCAGACAGATGCGATAAATGAACGAGCGAATCAGTCGATGCTCAATCATTTGGAGGACGATTAGGTAAGGAATTCGTACTCCGTCCGGGTGAGTGGCCTAACTGTCTGGATGCGGGTTTGAGGCTCTCCTCGCGGGGCACCCGATTGCCACAAAGTGCTCCTCCTCCCAAGAGCCGTGGCAACTATCGGAGGTACTTAGGTTAACAATGAAATGGCGCTGTAGCTGCTCCTACCGTATAGACTGGGAAGTTGTAACTTTGAAACCTTTGCTCACACCCTGCGAGTATCGGTACATCTTAGGGAAGAAATCGGAAGTGTTATACTACTTTTACCGCGCGTAAAGCGCCCAAAGGGACGAAAGAAAGAAATCGGAGAGCTATGGCAGAGTCAAAAAGTATATGTAGTACGTGACATGTATTGTGGATGGATGTATACGTAAATATGGGTACTTACCTCTGATTGTGCCACGGGCAGGTTGAGGGCTCTCCGGTGCTGGGGCAGTGCCAGAGGCGTGCCCACACAGCCGGGCGGCCCGCCGCCCCGGCGCGAGCCCAGCCACGACCACACATTCACGTTGTGCCCTGAGGAAAAAAAAAAAAAAAAAAAAAACATACAAAAGGAGGCCACGGGAACTCCACCGCTTTAGAAAAACTGGCTTTACGTTGCTTTATGTTACGTTACTCCATCTCTCCTCTCTGTACTGTTCTCTCTGGGCTATACACTGTATACATATACAACCCAGTGGGGTACGCCGGTCAAGAGCTACTGTGCTGCTGCAGCAGTGGTGTAGGGTATACGTGGCTGCAGCTCTTGGCGAAAGAGCTGCGAAATCGAATTTCGAGTTGGGGGGGTAACGAGAACCTGACCCACCCATCCATCCCCCGAAGCCCCGTCTCTCCTGACAGACAGCCAATGTGCACTGGTGGAGGGCTTTTCTATTTTCAAGCTTGGCGGGAATAGGTACTTCTTTCTTTCCTTCCTTCCTTCCTTTTTTTCAATATAGATAAATCGTATTTTCGAGGACGATGGATGACTTTTCATCCGCTCGGATCGCGAGTATTACAAGTAAACTCGCTGCGCGAAAAAAGTGTTTCCACGGTATATGGGTGTGCGAGCACGGGGGAAAAAAAAAAAAATATATATATATATATATACTCGGTAATTGGCATTTTACTTTCGTTCGAGAGGATTTTCCGGGCAAGTTTTGATTTCGAAGCGAAATTTCATTGCGAGTTTTATTTTAGCTTTTCTTTTCTTTTCCCCAACGAACGAGAAGAAATGCGGGGTATTAATTTAATAACTGCGCGTCGAACGAACTATTGTTTTTATCGGGAAACTTTACTTCTGCGCTGTAACTTGGGGGGGGGGGAAAAACAACCAAAAAACTTTGGCACTCCATACCGCGATATTGCACGTACGAAACATATATAACTTGAATAACTTTTAGTTTAATCTTGTTCCCTTCAAAATGCGCGCGTCTGGAAGTAAGTATAGAACCGCATGTTTTATACATGAACGCGCGTGTGCCGCCCAATGTCCAATATTGAAGTTCTTCTTATCGAGTGTTACGCAAACACAAAAAAAAAAGTCAATAAAACTGCCCCCGACGAAAAATCACGATCACGTGTTATTTATAATATAATGCACGATATTGCGTATATGCATCAATTTTCACACGTTTTCACGGGGAAAATAAATCATCACGGGGATGATGAAAATAGGCGTTTACAGCGTGCCCGACGCAATAGTATATCCGTTGATAAATTAATCAGACCCACTTAGCGAGAGATTTTCTCTCCGAGAAGAAGAAGAAGAAAACATTATCTTAATATGTTAATTACAGCACATCTGGAGGCTTCATGAATGCGAATAGAAATGATTAGCATTTATATATCTATGGGCACGTAACACTTTGTATATGACTTTAAATATTCATCGAAAAGAGAGGAAAAAAACAAGAAAGAAAGAAAGAAAAAGTCCACTTATCATAATCCGGCGGTAACGGTGTACTACTGTACTCCCCTGTATCCTGTATATGTATATATGATACTTTGGCTCGCGGGTCGACGGTAAATGGGCTTTTCAAAACAAATCCCCGGAATTACTTTAAACTTGGCACTTCTCATGTTAATGCGCGTTATTTTAGAAAACTCGATTAATCCCGTCTCGTCGAAACGACGTCTATACATATATATATATACCTATAGGTATGTATACGTACACAGCTGGGGGGATTAAAATTATGGGATCGCGAAAAGACGTCCTTGACTCTTTTTCAGAGGGATAAAAGAAAAAAACAAAAAAAAAAAAATAAGAGAGATGGGCACGTACTTTACGGCAAAAAGATAAAAGGGCGCACTGAGATAAAGGAATAATTAATTAAAAAATCGCCCTCGTAGTATGCAAATGCCGAGTACTCTGGCACATGTATGTATACGTATAGGTGGGTGTCTCGAGTAATACTAATAAGCCACTGTGTATAGATGTGTATCCACGATAATTGAAGTTTAACGGTGGGCTTAGTAAAAGAATCACGCTCGCGGACGTAGAAAAGGAGAGGAAACAAGAAAAAAAAAAAAAAAAAAAAAAAAAGAGAGAGAAGGGAAATAAATAAAAGTTGCGTTAAAATCAAGTTACACGTCCATCTCGTGTCAGCGGGGCATCATTGGCCCTCGAGTTCTCTACCCCCCGCAAAGAGGAGGAGGAGATCCACAAACAATTACACTTCGTCACGCTCTTACAGGCAAACTTTTTCCGATTTCTCTCCTCCCCCCGTAATCCGTCCCGTTGTTTCCCCGAATCAAGCCTGTACACGGTCTTTCATCGGCCACTCCTCGCCCCCTCCCTCCTTACCCCAATGTATAATAAAAATCCAATCTATCGAAGTAGCCGAAAGGGAAGAATGAGCAGTGAGTAGAAGTGGGGGTGTGGGGGGTGGATGAAGAAAACAAAGCCAGATCGACAATACAGAGAGGGGGGGGAGGGTGGGGGTAAGGTGAAAGAGAAAAGATATACGTACCAGGATTGGGCGCGACGTCGTGATAAGGCGGCAGCTTGTCGAGCTCGAGGGGCGGCCTATCCGGTATGACTGCGAGGCCCACCGACGCGGCTCCCACCACGACGCTCCCGCCAGGATTTCCGCCGTCCTGATTGCCGGCTCGCTCCAACGCCACGCCGCAACAACTCGCTGCGAAAACGAAAGTGGAGAAAGCTCGGCTACATTACACGTGTCGGTTGTTCTTGTTTGTTTGTTTGTTTGTTTGTTACTGCTCCTGATGCATATATATATATATATACATGATACGCCTACGCCATACGCATATCCATCATGTTACACGCCGCGTGCGTGCGTGGGTCCTTTTTTGCCTGTCCGACTGTCTGCGCGTGTACGGCAAGGGGATATGGCGGCAAGCTTCCCCCGCGTCACGTGCACGCGCGCTCTCGTATAATAACCCGAGCGCCGCCACCACCACCCGTATACCCATAACCCCCCCCCCCCCCAAATTTACCCCGCGACGCCTCGTACGGCTACTTTCTTCCCGCGCAACTCCCCCCGGAGAGAGGGCAGCCAGCGTGCTTCCGCTATTTATTTCGCTCGTGCTTTCACCGCAATCTCAACCGTATACACATTTTTACGGCTGCCTGCTGCTCTTCCAGGTCGTTTAGTTATATTAAAATCTTTTTTCCTTTCTTTTTCCTTTCTCTTCTCTCGTACATATATTATATGACAGCCCGCGTCTGCGGACGACAAATCCGAAAAGTGCATGGATGGAAATACGGGATGGGTGTGTTTCGGCGTTTTTCGCGCCATCGGATAATTAATATATATATGTGTGTACACATACGAGCCCGACGAGCACGGGAGAGAAGCGTCGCTGCCACGGTGTGATTGATATGATTGATTTTGATGCGAGTTATATAGCGGTATAACACGCGCGCCTATACCATCCGAACGAGCGCAATAACGGGAAAAAAGTGGGGAGGGGGGAGGAGGAGGAGGAAGTCGGGAAAAAGGAGACGTAAATTGGAAAAAAGCGGCTCTCTAATCGCGTCGGGCCCGTGTCAATTAATCAAGCCACGCAGCCGGTAAATCCGGCTCCGATGCTGAGTGTGTACATATATGTTGGAGAGGGGAAAAAAAAATTTTTCCCGATCGCGAGCTGCAGTCGACATCACAGGGACTTTTGATGGTCGGTTCGTGCCGTTAAACATGTATAATGTGCATATATGTATATAAGCACTTTAGCTGCTTTTATACGTTTGGGCCCGAAGAAAAGGGTTTCGAGTTGCGAAGGGTAGGTAGACGCGTCCCAGAGAAGAGGAAGATGAAGAAAACTAGCTATGTACGCTACACAAGGTATATCTTCAACCCTCCCTTACGCGCTCGCCTTTTTTTTTTTTCGATTCGCTAGGTTGTGCGTCTGCTGCGGGGTACTGAGGCCTTTCGTGCTCCTTAATTACGACGGAATCCGTTCGACAAAGGAGCTCAAGGCCGCAGAACGTCATAAGTGCTCCGGATCATAATACAACCAGCTCCCTTTATGTATTTCACGTTGGTACATGTAGATGAGCCCCCCCCCCCCCACCTATACATAGGCGTATAATATATCACGGCGGCTCCCTTCCTCTCGAGTTTTTGCGTCCGCATTCTAACGGCGAGCTTCTCTCTTCCCCCCCCCGTTTCTTTCATTCTCGGGACCCTCTGCGTGGCGCACGTAATAATATGTAGTATACCGTGTTTCTTTCTATGACGCGATGACAGCTCATGCCACTCACTGATCGATTCATAATCGTGAGGTTTTCGAGGAAACTATATACCTATGCTTTTTGTACCACACGTCATATACTTGTAACTACCTACGTCCTCTGCGCGCACAAAAGAGAGCTCTCTCGCTCGTAATAATGGAAAACAATCGCAGTGCCGCGCGGATATATGTCGGGGAATTGAAACAAAAAATAAAATTTTATTTTACGCTTCGTTTGAGCTTTATATACATTATTTTTTTATTTTTTTTTTTTTTTTGCCCGTCTGGGTGTTTGCGATTTATTTGTGGGTCGATACGTGCGTTGGTCGGTTTACGTGTTGTTTTTTTGTTGGATTTTATAAATTTTCTTTCCCCCGCGTTTGATTCAATAAAAATACATTTGACGCGTGTGTTTTTTCTTTTTTGTATTTATTGCTTTTTACGAAAAAAAAAAAAAAAAAAGAAAAAACAAATATGTGAAAAAGTCGATCAAACAATGCGATTTTGTATATTCACCCCCAAAAAAATATAAAAGTAATTGGAAAATCAACTCACCTCTGCCGTTTGCGCTCTTTAACCTTCGACAATGGAGCAATGTGACCATGACCACGGCACCGATACCTGCCGAGAGCAGCGAAACTATGACTAACGTTAACAACCAACCAAGTTCACCGGGTGCTTCTGAAAAACAACAAAAGAAAATATCCAATCGTTACTGTTTATAATTTTTT